AGGTACTGGAGCTGCTGGGGCTGGGGGTGCTGCGTCTGGAGGTGCTGCTGCTGGAGACACCGAGGCTGGAGACCCTGGGACTGGAGGTGCTGGTTCTGGGGGTGCTGCTGCTGGAGACATTGAGGCTGGAGACCCTGGGACTGGAGGTGCTGGTTCTGGGGGTGCTGCTGCTGGAGGCACTGAGGTTGGAGACCCTGGGCCTGGAGGTGTCGGTTCTGGGGCTGGAGCTTCTGGAGCTGCTGGAGGTGCTGGAGCTGCTGGAGGTACTGGAGCTGCTGGAGCTGCCGGTACTGGTGCAGCTGCGCCGACACGACTGTTCTTCGCTCCGCCGTCTCCGTCGTCTCTGCCACCGCCTGACTCTGTTCTTCATCAGGTTCTTACTCTCCCGTCGTCTACTGGTCTTCCATTACAGCCTGGCTCACCGCTGCCTGCTCCTTCTCCTTACACTGAGCAGACAGGTAGTCTCGCTGCGCGTCATGAGCCTGCGTCGCGTCCTGTCTCGCCTGTTGGTCCTAGTCGTACCGGTCGTCGTGTTCCTCGTCCGCGTCAGCCGGCTGTCCCCGGCACACGCCTTGTAGCCCTGCGTCGGTCCCCTACTCCGGAGCGTACTCCTCTTCCGTCTCCCCCTGCGTCCTCTTTGCCTGACGTTCCGGACCCTGAGTCTGACCGGTTTCGTGCTGAGCACCCTACTGTCACGCGTCTGCTAGCCACTGTTGTCACTGACCCGTCGTTTGAGTCTGCTGCTGCGTCTGCCCTGGTCGCTGAGCTTGTTGACTTTGCTGCTGCCTGTCGTCTAGACTACGCTGCTAGTCTTGTTGCTGAGTCTGAGTCTGTCTGTCCTCCGTCCGTCGGGGGTGAGTGTGCCCTTGGCACGGACGTCCTTGAGGACAGGCACGAGGACCTTGAGTGTCTTGCAGCCGCTGCGCCTCATCTCGTGGCCATGCTGCTTGCCCCTGAGGGAGACCCGGATGCTATAGACATCCCCACACCGCGCTCTTACGCTGAGGCGATCGCGGGTCCTTACTCCTCTCAGTGGCAGGCAGCCATGGACGCAGAGATGGCATCCTGGAAGTCCACAGGCACTTACGTCGATGAGGTTCCCCCTCCCGGGGCAAACATCGTCGATGGCATGTGGATTTTCAGGGTGAAGCGGCCGCCAGGTTCTCCGCCTGTCTTCAAGGCGCGTTACGTTGCTCGAGGCTTCAGTCAGCGAGAGGGAGTTGACTTCTTCCAGACCTTCTCCCCTACCCCGAAGATGACTACTCTTCGGGTGCTGCTGCACGTTGCCGCTCAGCGTGACTACGAGCTTCACTCCCTTGACTTCAGCACAGCTTTCCTACAGGGCAGCCTGCACGAGGAGATCTGGCTACGCCGCCCACCTGGCTTCACTGGGACGTTCCCTCCTGGTACCCAGTGGAGCCTCCGCCGGCCAGTCTACGGTCTCCGCCAGGCACCCCGTGAGTGGCACGACACACTGAGGACTACCCTTGCGGCTCTTGGGTTTGCGCCTTCGACTGCTGACCCTTCACTGTTTCTACGCACCGACACTTCGCTGCCGCCGTTCTATATCCTCGTGTACGTCGACGACTTGGTCTTTGCTACTGCTGACACTGAGGCCCTCGCCCTGGTGAAGTCCGAGCTGCAGAAGAGACACACGTGCACAGACCTGGGTGAGCTGCGCAGCTACCTTGGCTTGCAGATCACCCGGGACCGAGCACGCCGCACCATCACACTAACTCAGTCACACATGGTGCAGCAGGTCCTTCAGCGCTTCGGCTTCACCTGGTCCTCAGCACAGGCCACTCCTCTGGCTATAGGTCACTCGCTCTCAGCTCTGCCTTCGGATGAGTCCGTAGAGCCGAGTGGTCCTTACCCAGAGCTAGTAGGCTGCCCTGATGACTTGCACTCGTCCTGACCTTGCGTACCCTCTTGGCCTTCTGGCTCGCTACGTGGCTCCTGGTCGGCACCGAAAGGTGCACTGGGATGCTGCGAAGAGGGTACTGCGCTACTTGTGCAGTACATCGGGCATGGGGCTCGTGCTTGGAGGACGGCGAGAGGTGGTCCTCACTGGGCACTCAGACGCTTCTTGGGTTGACGACCAGGCTACGCAGCGGTCGTCACAGGGTTACACTTTCAGCCTTGGCTCTGGTTCTGTTTCTTGGCGTTCTACTCGCTCGTCTTCTGTTCTCAGCTCCAGTTGTGAGGCTGAGATCTACGCCACCGCCATGGCTGCTCAGGAGTTACGCTGGCTCACCTACCTGCTGACCGACTTGGGAGAGCGGCCTCGTTCTCCTCCAGTGCTGTACGTCGACAACAAGGCTGCCATTGCCTTGTGTGAGGAGCACAGACTAGAGCACAGAACGAAGCACATCTCTCTGCGGTACTTTCTGACTCGAGAGTTGCAGCAGCGTGGTCAGCTTCGTCTTGCACACGTGGCCACTCGGGCCAACACTGCTGATATATTTACCAAGGCACTTCCGTCTGGTGATCATCAGCGCTTTTGTACTTTGTTAGGCCTTGTGCCTACGTTTCCACACTTGCTGTAGTCTTTTGTGTGTACTGTGCTCTATATTTATGCCTGCATGCTTGCTCTTGCTAGGTATTGATCACTGTACTGCTCTTGTTGCTTATATATATCTCTGCATGTGGACTGGCCTTGCGGCCCTTTGCTTGTGCTCAGAATGTGTGGTGACGTTGAGATCCACCCTGAGCTTGCTTTGCGTCTCTTGACTGGTCGTGTGACCCCTTGTTCTCCCCCACTTTGCCTATGGGGGTGTGTCAAACATATATGCTGCATATTGTCTAGGCTGTAGTGGGGTAGCCCATATGGGGTACAACCCAATTAGGGTTTACTACTTGTACTCCTGCATGCTGTTAGTTCATCATTCCTACTGCTAGATTCTAACAAATGGGCCCATGTGTCGGGCACACCAGGCAAGCAGAAGTGCAGGCAGTTTCTTCCCCCCTCGTGCGCCCCATTAGACAACATGAAGGCATCCCCCAGGAACATTGCGTGCCTACTCAATTGGGCTGTGTTATTCACAATAGACCCACTTTCATACCCTAATTAGCCACATTATTCACAGCGAATCTATCGTTCTTCATGGTGGTATAGAGCGCATCAGCCCATGTGTCAGGCACACCGAGCAAGCAGAAGTGCAGGCAGTTCCTCCCCCTCATGCGCCCTGTTGAACGACATGAAGGCACCCCCCCGGAACATCAGTTTATTCAGCTTCATCAGCACAACCCCCCTCCTACTTGGCTGCATTGTTCACGATAAACCTATCGTTCTTCATGCTCGTAAAGACGCATCGGCCCATGTGTCAGGCACACCGGGTAGACAGAAGTGCAGGCAGTCTCTCCCCCCCCATCATGCGCCCCATTGGACGACATGAAGGCATCCCCCCCAGTACATCAGCTTTATCAGCTTCGTCAGGACTCCCCTCCTACTTGGCTGCATTGCTCACGATAAATCTATCATTCTTCATGCTCGTAAACAGTGCATCGGCCCATGTGTTAGGCACACCGGGTAGACAGAAGTGCAGGCAGTCTCTCCCCCCATCATGCGCCCCATTAGACGACATGAAGGCATCCCCTCGGAACATCGAGAGGTAGGTGATGGGGAGGAAGCGGAATGGGCGGCGGTTTTGGAAGACTTTCTGCTGGATGGGGAGGAAGCTGCGAGACGCCTTGTTGTCCCTAAAGAGAGATGAGACCTGCTTGTGTGGGGGAGGAGAGGGAGGAGAGGGAGGAAGACCTTTTCCTGGATGGGGAGGAATCCACGGGATACCTTGTCATTGAACAGAGATGTCACCTGGTAATGGGAGAGAGGGATGGAAGAAGAAAGAAGGAGAGGAGGGTGATGGGGAGGAGCGAGGTAGGTGGTGGCAGTGGTGGTGATTATATTGAGTTGGTGTCGCTGCTGGTGCTTCCCTGCCAATCCATTCCTCCTTGTAAATTGTTCTTTAGTGTACTCAACATGAGTTTTGTACACGGCCAGTTATTTTCTCAAGCATGCAATATAAATGATAAGTCTATCACTACTTATGGTCGTGTAGATTTGGTAGCATTGGCTTACAGTGCCCAGTACCGTATGTGTCCTGCACAAGTGGAGTCATTTGTCAAACTCACCTACCCCTACTTAGCTGCATTGCTCACACCACATTGGTGCGTGTTCCAACTTCCTACGCCTAATATCAACCAACCTTGTAACAGGCTTGCCTGGTAAAACTATCGAAGAATTTTGGGTCTAGGGGAATTTTCTGTGTGAGCCTGATAAGAGGCTCGCTTGATACGAGGTGTAGGAATTCGCTCTTAAAATACCATTCTTCATGGTGGTATAGAGAGCATGCATGGGCCCATGTGCCTGGCATACTGGGCATACTGGCATACCAGGGAATTGAGGTCATTTTTTAGGCGCCTCAATAAATATACCATTCTTCATGGTGGTATAGAGAGAATGGGTCCATGTGTCAGGCACACCGGGCAAGCAGAAGTGCAGGCAGCCTCTTCCCCCCTCGTGCGCCCCGTAAGACAACATGAAGGCATCCCCCAGGAACATTGCGTGCCTACTCAATTGGGCTGCGTTATTCACAGTAGACCCACTTTCCTACCCTAATTAGCCACATTATTCACAGCGAATCTATCATTCTTCATGGTGGTATAGAGCGCATCAGCCCATGTATCAGGCACACCGAGCAAGCAGAAGTGCAGGCAGTCTCTCCCCCCCCATCATGCGCCCCATTGGACGACATGAAGGCATCCCCCCCAGTACATCAGCTTAATCAGCTTCGTCAGGACTCCCCTCCTACTTGGCTGCATTGCTCACGATAAATCTATCGTTCTTCATGCTCGTAAACAGTGCATCGGCCCATGTGTCAGGCACACCGGGTAGACAGAAGTGCAGGCAGTCTCTCCCCCCCGATCATGCGCCCCATTGGACGAGATGAAGGCATCCCCCCCAGTACATCAGCTTTATCAGCTTCGTCAGGACTCCCCTCCTACTTGGCTGCATTGCTCACGATAAATCTATCGTTCTTCATGCTCGTAAACAGTGCATCGGCCCATGTGTCAGGCACACCGGGTAGACAGAAGTGCAGGCAGTCTCTCCCCCCATCATGCGCCCCATTAGACGACATGAAGGCATCCCCTCGGAACATCGAGAGGTAGGTGATGGGGAGGAAGCGGAATGGGCGGCGGTTTTGGAAGACTTTCTGCTGGATGGGGAGGAAGCTGCGAGACGCCTTGTTGTCCCTAAAGAGAGATGAGACCTGCTTGTGTGGGGGAGGAGAGGGAGGAGAGGGAGGAGAGGGAGGAAGACCTTTTGCTGGATGGGGGGGAATCCACGGGATACCTTGTCATTGAACAGAGATGTCACCTGGTAATGGGAGAGAGGGATGGAAGAAGAAAGAAGGAGAGGAGGGTGATGGGGAGGAGCGAGGTAGGTGGTGGGGAGGAAGCGGAAGGGGCGGCGGTTCTGGAAGACTTTCTGCTGGATGATGGGGAGGGAGGATGCCACGTGCGTGATGCCTTGTTGTCACTAACATGAGATGTCGAGGGGCCGCTGAGGCGAGGGGCCGCTGAGGCGAGGGGCTGCTGAGCGAGAGAGGCTGCTGTGGAGGGAGTGCTGTACTGGACGGAGCAGATGCAACGCACTACCATACTTACCCACCTACTGTGGCTGCAGGTCTGTCTCACAGTTGTGCTATTCACGCACCTACTGTGGCTACCTGCGGGAGGAGGACGTTCTGATAGCCGTTGAGGCAAGGGGGCGCTGACAGGAAGTAGAAGAGTAGTTGCTGTGGGGAGTTTGAGACCCACCTGCCATGCTGCACGCACCTACTGTGGCCACCTGCGGGAGGAGGACGTTCTGAATCGGACAGCCGTTGAGGGGAGGGAGTGAGGAGAGGAAGTAGGGCACGGGGAATGGCTCTCCCTGAGAGAAGAGAAGAGTGCTAGACACAATCAGGTTTCTGCCTCTGCTGCACCCACCTGCTTTAAGGCAGGAGTCGAGACGAGGTGGTGCTGTGAAAAATAGTGCAGACTGGAAAGGGCCTGCCAAGGGCTTTCCCCGAGAGAAGTGAAGTGCGCTAGCCACAACCAGCTTAGCTTTCTGCCTCTGCTGCACCCACCTGCTGTAGGGCTCTGTCTCACAGTTGTGCTGTTCACCCACCTGCTGTAGGGCTCTGTCTCACAGTTGTGCTCTTCACCCACCTGCTGTGGCGAGCTGAGGGAAAAGACGTCCTGGCAGCCGTTGAGGCGAGGGGGGGGCGAGAGGAAGGCAAAGAGCGGACGCTGTGGGGAGTGTGAGACCCACCGTTCATGCCACACCCACCCCTTCTGTCTCTGCTGCACACCCACCTGCTGTGAGCTGCTATGCTGCACACCCACCTGCTGTGGCGAGCTGAGGGAGGAGACGTTCTGGCAGCCGTTGAGGCGAGGGGGGGCCGAGAGGAAGTAGGGCATGGGGAAGGGCAGGACCTTGTGAAGAATGCTTGACACAACCCACCTTTCCTGCTGCACTCACCTTCCATGTTTGCACGCACCTGCTGCGGGCTGCTGAGGGAAGAGACGTTCTGGCAGCCGTTGAGACGAGGGGGGGCCGAGAGGAAGTAGGGGACGGGGAACGGCTTTCCGCGCTTGTTGCGCCCTGCAAACGCATTGTACACTGTCCTCATGCCGATTCTGGGATGGGGGGAGAGAAGAGAGGGAGATTATAAGGAGGAGAAGGGATGACTAGTCTTTTTCCTCTTGCTGCGCCCTGCGAATGCGTTGTACACGGTCCTCATGCCGATTCTGTGAGAGGAGAGGGTGGGGGTGGGGGGGGGCCGGGGTGGGGGGAATAAGAGTGAGAAGAGGCGATGAGTCAAGGGCAGCCAATGAGAGGAACTAGGGGACGGGGAAGGGCTTTCCGCTCTTGTTACGACGCGAGAATGCGTTGAACACGGTTCTCCTTCCGATTCTGTGGAAAGGGGGGAGAAAGCGGTGCGAGGAGAGAGGAGAGAGGAGAGGAGAGAGAGGAGAGAGGAGAGAGGAGAGAGGAGAGAGAGAGAGAGGAGAGAGGAGGGGAGAGAGGAGAGGAGAGAGAGGAGAGAGGAGGGGAGAGAGGAGAGATGAGAGATGAGAGGAGAGGAGAGAGGAGGGATGAGAGATGAGAGGAGAGGAGAGAGGAGAGATGAGAGGAGAGGAGAGGAGAGAGGAGAGATGAGAGGGGAGGAGAGAGAGAGGAGAGGAGAGAGAGGAGAGAGGAGAGAGGAGAGAGGAGAGAGGAGAGAGGAGAGAGGAGAGAGGAGAGAGGAGAGAGGAGAGAGGAGAGAGGAGGGGAGAGCAGTGAGTGAGGGAGAAAGCTTACAGCATCACGCCTGGCTTAGCAATCATAAGAGAAAACTCACAACAATGAATTAGAGAACTCGCGCATATGCTTCATAAGTTGAAGGGGCCGGTTTCATGACGTTCTAGCTCGGTCGGACCAGCATATTACCTTGGACAACCCAGTCCGGAAAACGTAAAGGGAACTCCGAACCATATTGAAGGAAAGCTTACTCGTATGCTTCATAAGTTGCAGGAGCCGGTTTGATGGCGTTCCAGTTCTTGCCAGCATAGTATCGCCGCATGAAGCCATACGGATTTCACAAAACGTAACAGAAACTCACTCATATGCTTCATAAGTTGAAGGAGCCGGTTTGATGGCGTTCCAATTCCCATCAGTATAATATCGTCGCATAAGGTCACGCCCTGCCGGCCAGTCCGCAGCAGTCTGCAACACAATGACGTGGATTTTGTCCAGATGTGCCGCCCAGGAGGGCTCCAGCTTGTGGAGGTTCACCACTGTGTCCTGTAGCGCAGGCTTGGTATTGCCGAACCTGGCGAGAGTCTGGTTTGGGGAAAAACGGAGAGGAGGATGTGAATGCCAAGGTTGGCTTTGCCAAACCTAAACCGGCCAAGTTTTTGAGAATATCAGGTAAAGTTTTTGAGAATATCAGGTAATTTTTTTGAGAATATCAGGTAAAGTTTTTGAGAATATCAGGTAAAGTTTTTGGGAATATCAGGTGAAGTTTTTGAGAATATCAGGTAAAGTTTTTGAGAATTCTCAAAAGTCAAACCTAAACCGGTAATGATTCCAAATATCAGGTAAAGAACGGGTTTTCAGGAGGTAGGGGGAGAGAGCTAAGGAGAAACCTGCAAAGAAGACGAAGGGAAGCTTACTTGTATGAAGAGATAGAGGGGGAAACGCAGAGACGAGCAAGAAAGAGAATGCAGATTCTGCGACAATAAAAATACCGACGACCCTTTCTACCCATCTCCATCCCCGCCCACCCCTTACCCCCCCTTCCATCCTCACTTTGTTGCTCCTGTCAATCTCACAAGGTACTGTGCCCAGTAGTTGTCAACCTTTGAGTCTCTCGTCCGCACTCCCCTTTCCTTCCGCCCCCCACTTCCCTTTCCTTCCGCCCCCCACTCCCCTTTCCTTCCGCCCCCCACTCCCCTTTCCTTCCGCCCCCCACTCCCCTTTCCTTCCGCCCCCCACTCCCCTTTCCTTCCGCCCCCCACTCCCCTTTCCTTTCGCCCCCCACTCCCCATTCTCTCTCTCCCCTCACTTTGTTGCTCCTGTCAATGGCAACAAGAAACTGCGCTTAAGAAGTGGCAAGTGTTGACTTTTGCGTCGACTCAGAGAGTCAACTCGCTTCTCCCTCTCCTCCTCCCCCCCCCACCACCTCCACCTCTCCTCTTCCCCCACAACCTCCCCTCACCTTGTTGCTCCTGTCAATCGCGACAAGGAACTCCGCCCAGAAGTTGACAATCGTTAAATCTTTCCCTCACCATCTCCCCTCTCTCTCGCCCCCGCTCACCTCGTTGCTCCTGTCAATTGCGACAAGGAACTCCGCCCAGAAGTTGACAAGTGTCACGTTGTGACTGGACTCAGAAACCAACTACCTTCTCGCCCCTTCCACCCCTCCTCACCTTGTTGCTCCTGTCAATCGCGACAAGGAACTCCGCCCAGAAGTTGACAAGTGTCACGTTGTGACTGGGCACATGATAGGCCTCGGAATTCCCAAACTTGTTGGGTTTACCCAGCATCTTCACTTCTGTAAACTTGGCTATCTAAAGAAGGGTAAGTGGGGGGGGGGGGGCGGGGGGGAAGCTTTTGAGTTGACTCAAAAACCTCGGCATTCCCAAACTTGTTGGGTTTACCCAGCAGCTTCACTTCTGTAAACTTGGCGATCTGAGCAAGGGTGGGTTGGGGGGGGGTAGCTTTTGAGACGTCTCAAACCTCGGTATCCCCGAATGTGTTTGCTTTACCTGGCATCCGCACTTCTGCAGACTTGGCGATCTGAGCAAGGGAGGCAGTGAAAGGAGGGGCGGTGGACTATTGAATCGAGTCAACATTGACCTTGTTCGGTTTACCTGGCATCCTCACTGCTGCAAACTTGGCTATCTAAAGAAGGGTAGGTGGGGGGAAGGGGGGGGGGGGGGGGGGGGAGGGGAGGGGAGGGGAGGCAAAGGGTAGGTCAATTTCGAGACACTTTATAGAGAACTTGCTTTTGTTTCTCTCTGAAATTTCACCCTGGCTTGCTTGGGAGGTTGTGTGAAGGGGGGAATTCGAGAGGGGAAGTTAGCGGGTGTTACATTGCCACCAGCCAGGTAGACCTTGGTAACCCAAGATTTTAAGCCACGAGATAGAATTATTGTTTTATCAGTTGACAGGTGTCATGTTGTGACTGGGTATGTGGTACACCTCGGTATCCCTAAATTCGTTTGGTCTTGAAAATGCATTTTCTACTCATTATCTGGTGTGTACACGCAGCGTCTACACCCACATGCGGAGATGATGATACATAGAATTGCGTTCTTACATTGCAGACGACTGCTAGGAGGAAGCCTCTAACGGAGATGGACTCGCCCACACTCGCAAACACCCTGTTGGGCACAGGGAGGGAGTGAGGGAGGGAGGGAGGGATGGAGGAGGGAGGGAGAAAGGGAGGGAGGGAGTGAAGTAGTGAGGGAGGAAGAAGGGACAGGGGAGTGAGTGGGAGACGGAGTGAGCGAGAGAATGGAAGGCCAGCCCACACATGACAGCGCACAATGTGTGTGTGTGTGTGTGTGTGTGTGTGTGTGTGTGTGTGTATCCGTGTTTGCACGTGAAACGTGTGCAAGTATAAGTGCACATGTACATATGTGTGCAATGTGTTTGCGTACACGTATGTGTGCATGTATCCCACCACTCACGACTCACTTGTTCTTCATGAGTTTGAGAAACCCTGGTGCATTGAAGCACATGATCTACGAGTGCATGTCTGCACGCGAATATGTATGCATATACATGTATGTGTGTGTGCATGTGTGTGTCCATGTATGTGTGTACCCCTCGCAACTCACTTGTTCTTCATCAGTTTGAGAAAACCTGGTGCATTAAAGCGCATGCCATTCGCAGGGCACCCATTGGGTTTCCAGGACCAATACTGCACGGGACAGAGGATGAAATGGGGGGATGTGGGGGGGAAAAGATGGGAGAAGAGAGAGAAACATGGAATGGGGGATGGGGCGAGGTATAGGAAGGACAAGCATTGGGCCTCCAGGACCAATACTGCACGGGACAGAGGATGAAATGGAGGGATGGGAGGAAGAGGACCTGGGGAGGAGTAGGGAAATATGAACTGGGGGGATGGGGAATAGGTATAGTAAGGATGAGCACCCACTACTCACTCTCCCGCGCTCACTATCACGCTCTACGAGTCAAAGCAGTCACATTCAACGCCCAGGAACCCACCAGCCAGTCCTTCGATTGCCCGCTTTGCCTCATGCAGTTGCTCACTCCCTGCGAGGTGGGGCAAGCTTCATGGGAGCACCCACAACTCACTCTCTCCCGACTGTTGAGGCGCCTCAAAAGTCATTGGAGTACCCACAACTCAGTCTCTCCCGACTGTTGAGGCGCCTCAAAAGTCATTGGAGTACCCACAACTCACTCTCTCCCGCTGTCACGACTCCCTCTCTCGCCCACTCACGACGCACTCTCTGCCAGTCAAGGAGGCGAATCCAATGCAAACGCACTCACCAGCCAGTCTTTTGACCGCCCGCTTTGCCTCATGCAGTTGCTCACTCCCTGCGAGGTGGGGCAAGCTTCATGGGAGCACCCACGACTCAGTCTCTCCCGACTGTTGAGGCGCCTCAAAAGCCATTGGAGTACCCACAACTCACTCTCTCCCGCTGTCACGACTCCCTCTCTCGCCCACTCACGACGCACTCTCTGCCAGTCAAGGAGGCGAATCCAACGCAAACGCACTCACCAGCCAGTCTTTTGACCGCCCGCTTTGCCTCATGCAGTTGCTCACTCCCTGCGAGGTGGGGCAAGCTTCATGGGAGCACCCACAACTCAGTCTCTCCCGACTTTTGAGGCGCCTCAAAAGTCATTGGAGTACCCACAACTCAGTCTCTCCCGACTGTTGAGGCGCCTCAAAAGTCATTGGAGTACCCACAACTCACTCTCTCCCGACTGTTGAGGCGCCTCAAAAGTCATTGGAGTACCCACAACTCACTCTCTCCCGCTGTCACGACTCCCTCTCTCGCCCACTCACGACGCACTCTCTGCCAGTCAAGGAGGCGAATCCAACGCAAACGCACTCACCAGCCAGTCTTTTGACCGCCCGCTTTGCCTCATGCAGTTGCTCACTCCCTGCGTGGAGAAGCGGAAGGGGACGGTTGTGGGTTGGAAGGGTGGAGGAGGGGAAGGAAAGATAGCGTGAGAGTGCGGTCGGCAGGAGAAGGGGAAGAGGCGTTTCTATGGCGTGCGGCCGGCAGTTCCGCTGATTTGCCCGTGCGTAATCCGTAGTAACCCCGCATGCAGGTACGCGCTACCCGCAGTAACCCCGCATGTTCGCACTACCAGCTTCTTCGATTCAAACCCAGTTACACACCATGTACTTGCAGGTGCTGGCGTCGTAAGCGGGTCGGCTGTTATCGCGTACCCACGTACCCTGGCTGTAATTCGTGCATCCTCCTGATCAGGCACGAGGACGCGCAGGTAAGAAGCGAGGGTAGTGCAAGGAAATAGACGGTGAAGAGAGAGGAGACATATCAAAAAGCACTGTACGGAAGAGGCACGGGATCTGGGGGTTGAAACAAGTGAGTAACGAAGAGACTGCGGGTCGAGCAAAGAGTAAGCAATACCTGCAGTTCCGGGGGCGGCTTGAGCAGTTCCCTGTACAGTCACAAGCAGTGCGACGGCTATCGCTGGTGCGACGACGCGTGCGACGATGAGAGAGGTAGAGAGCGACCGCTTGTGGCGAAATGGCGACATGGTATGCGAAGCTCAAAATCGTCGCGACACAAATCGAAGCAATGTGTCGTCGCGTGGTTTCCAAAAAACTGTCTTCAACCAAATTTCGTGGCTATCGTTGGATATGGTGTGTGCGGCTTACTCTCAAGTTAAATGGTAGGGAAACCTAAACGACTTGGAACGACAACTTGGTAACGTCAAGAGGAAACGACACAAGTTCAAGGTATGCAAACCCGCACGCGTTCTAACAGTGCAGACCCGAGCTTGAACACATTACCCCTACGAAGGACCGATCAACGATGCTTCTCGCTCTATGGCCGTCCTCAGCTAACGCCTGGCTAGATTTCCACCTGTCGTCCCTTACTCGCATCAATAATCAAGAAAGCGTTTAGAGACAAAGTTCTGAACATCATTCAAAAAGCACTTCTGTTGTTGGTACGAATGCTGTTTTGGGACCAACACGGAACATCCAGACTTCCGTACAAATCGAAGCTGATCGCACCGTCCATCTCGCCGATCTGCAAATGTCAGCTCAGCATATTCAATGTGTCGGCGCTCCCACGCCGCACCGCACATTCCCGAAGCTAGCGAACGCGACGCCGGCGGGATGGCGGGAATTATTTTTGGTTCTCAGACATGCCATTGAAGGTTGACCGTTATTATGTACGCAATAAGGTGCTATCTGGTTCACAAATGTGTGAGGGTAAGAATCCTTGTCAGCTAATTGTACAAACATAATTCGCCTTACCAAATCCAAAAATCTAGACACAACCAGGAAGCAACCAGGCGCAATACACAATACAGAATACCATGTACTTTATTTCCATGGACACAGCAATATTTATTCCACAGAAAACAATATTGCATTACAAAGTGAAGGTCAGAAGCCTAGTTCTGCTTGTGACACATTCAATAAAATAGGCAATGCAGATGGCATGAATTTCCGTGCAAAAAGGAAGCAATGTCTATGCTCCGAACCAAGTGCACAATATCCGTTGTCGTAATCCTGCGCAGCAGACTACAAACATCAGTACAAAATTCCTTTAGGGACTAATACACCATGTATCAAAACTGTAACAAACCCCTTACCTTGACAGGTTTTCCTGTGCTTGGGTCTAGCACCTGCACAAGACATTGGGAGGCCCAGCAAAGCAGAGAGCCGTCAGCCACATTAGTCTACTGTTAACCCTTGATTTTGGGGGTATACCACCTAGGATCGGGCAGCGTATGGCATATGATGAAGTTCTGACAACATGGAATAACCTTTGACACTACAACGCTCACCACGTGACACTTACATGACATTCGATCCTTTCGCCACACCACAACACACCACACCACACAGCGCCGCACACCACCACACCACACCGCACCGCACCGCACCACTCAACAAACAGCCCTCACCAGGTGACTCTTGTACGACTTGCGAATGCGATGCCAGTAGGGCCGCCATGCGATGTACTGGTCCTCACACTGCATGAGTGGATGGGATGGATGGCAAGTGAATAAAGGTGACTGAGAATGATGCATGTACTCCAGACAAGGGGTCAGTGGGGCCGCCATGCGATGTGCCGGTCCTCACACTGCATGGGTGAATCAAGCAGCGGGAGGATGCATGGTGAGACCATTCTTAGAGGGAAGCAGGTAGTGTTCCTAACAGAGTATGCCTTCGGTTTCTTCTGAAGAGCAATCCCATCATAACGAATACCTTGATTTGTCTAAGACGGCGGGAGGTGGTGTTCAAAACGGAGTGAGCCAATAACGAGTACCACTAAAACGAGTACCTTGATTTGCCTTAAAAGGAGGGATGTGGTGTTGTCAACGGAGTATGCCTTGGGATGCCACTTGCGCTCCGTCCAATCCACAAATGTTACCGTGTGTAGTTAGATACCCCCCCTGGATCCAGCTTCTGCAGGTTGAGAGGAGGACAAAAGGAAGGGCGACGCAAGGTGAGGAAGAAAGAGAGCAAGAAGGATGTCACTGTGTAGTTAGATACCCCCCCTGGATCCAGCTTCTGTACGGGAAGAAAGAGGGAAAGGGGAAGGAGGAAGGCAACAGAAGAGCAAATTGGAGGGGAGAAGAAGGCGCGGCCAGAGAGGACGAATGCCGAGGAAAAAGGGGAGGGAGCAGCGGTTTGGATGGGCGTGGGAGGTGGTGTTGTCAATGGAGTAGGCCTTGGGATGCCACCATGCACGTGTAGTTGGATTGGATACCCCTTCTGGGTCCAGCTTTTGAAGAGAACTGAGGGAAAACGGAGATAGGAGGCGGGAAGGAAGGAAGGAGAAAGGTGGGGTGAGCAGAAAGGAAAAGAAAGAGCAGGTGTCTCATTTTGACTTGATACGCCCGGCCCGGGGTCTATTTCTGGAGGAGAAACGTAGGGAAAAGGGAAATGGAAGAACGATGGAAAGAGGAAGATGGCAAAGCATATTTGAAGGAGCACCTGAGCATACCTGATATTTCACTTGAGCATACCTGGAAGAGCGTTTGAAGGTAATGCTCGTCCGAGTAGCAGTTCTTGAACTCCCGCTTCGGCTGTAGCAGGCAAGTGCGCATAAAAATGAGAGGAAACAGGAACCAGAGACAGCTCAATAAATGTCTGAAGGAAGTCGTCCGAATAGCAGTTATTGAATTCCCGTTTTGGCTGCAGAAGAAAGGAAGAAAGCGCAAAACAAAGAAAACAAGCAGGACCCTGAGACAGCTCAATAACTGTTTGAAGGCAGTGCACGCTCGAGTGGCAGTTCCTGAACTCCCACTTTGGCTGCAGCAGGCAGACAGGTGTGCACGAGCAAGCACAGGAGAGGCCATGATAATGAACTCTTGCTTTGGCTGCGAGCAAAAAGAAGCGTGTGTGAATGCTGTTCTTCAGGAGAAGTGAGTGTGCTGTGCAGACCGGAGAGAGAGTCCATAGACATGCAGAAATCAGTTTCTACCAAGGGCTTTTGAGTCGACTCAAAAGTCACCTCGTTTTGAGTCGACTCGAGAGTCCATAGACATGCAGAAATCAGTTTCTACCAAGGGCTTTACAGCGCAACTCATGCAACGCGAATGCGAGATCTGGCATAAAGGAGGGAGGAGGATTGGGGGAGGGAGACAGGGGAGGAAGGGAGGAAGGGAGGAAGGGAGGAAGGGAGGAAGGGAGAGATGAAATTCTCAATTTAAGTTTACTGAACCACAAGGGAATATACTTAGCAAGCCTTTTTTAGGCACCTGACAGAAGTACATGTGATAACTTGATGGATAACGAGGCTTACTTTACAGTGCTTTTGAAATTTGAAGTAGACCTTTCTGTCCTCGATCACCATCATCGCATGCCTCCTTTGCAGCACAAACCACTGCAGTCACATCAACGCACCACGAAAAAGGCAAACAGGGACGAAGAAGTAAAAACCCGCATGCGAAGATGCACAAGAGATCGGAAACAATGTGAAGAGATTTTAGAATCTGAGTACACACCAGCACGTTTTTCGCTGAAACAATGAGAGAATAATAAGCTCCTTCACCTTCCATGTAAGAGGGCCACTTCATCCACCTCAATGTGAACCCCTCTCACACGGCCGTCTCTTGCTGGAGAAGCTTATAACGAGTACGACACCCACCTGAGATCCCTTTTTGAAATCTTTCTTCTTTATCTCTGGCCCCATCCCTTCCGTGTAGCGACCAAAGCCGATGTTGAGTGGGCAATCAAACCTGATGGGGATTGGGATGGGGGGATGAAGATGGAGGATGGGGATGGGGATGGGGATGGGGATGGGGATGGGGATGGGTATGGGGATGGGGATGCGGATGGTGATGCGGATGGGGGTGGGGATGGGCAGCTGCAAAAGAGCACACTTCTCCTTCTTCAAGGCCCCATCCCTTCCATTACTTTCGAGACGCCACTTCCATAAAATCCTCTTGCACCCACTTCTTCGAGAAGCCTATGTCGGGAGGACAGTCGAACCAGGTGCGGATTGAGGTGGGGTGATGTGGGGAGGGGGACCGGGATGGGGGTAGGACGCGTATAAGAGCACACTCCTCTTTATCTCAGGCCCCATCCCTTTCATGTTGAGAGGACAGTCGAACCTGATGGGGATTGAGATGGGGGGAAGGAGATGGGTCGATTGAGATAGGGATGGGGATGGGGATGGGGATGGGGATGGGGATGGTGGGAAGGGGATGAGGATGAACATGGGGATGGACATGGGCATGGGCATGGGCATGGGCATGGGCATGTGCATGTGCATGGGCATGGGCATGGGCATGGGGATGGGCGTGGGCATGGGCATGGGCATGGGCATGGGCATGGGCATGGGCATGGGCATGGGCATGGGCATGGGCATGGGCATGGGCATGGGCATGGGCACGGGGATGGGCGTGTTAAGAAATTATTTAAGCTCACCTCTTGACGAAGCTCACAGCTATGGTCGCACACCTTGACCTTTTAGCTAAGTAAGGTGATGGCGTTACTTTGTGCTCTTGGGCTTACCTTTCAATGAAGCTGACTGATGTGGTAGCGACGTAGTTATAAATATACTTGAAGGACCACAGGGGTATGCAGCTGGTGGGAGGGACACATGGGAATGAGAAGGGGGAGTGAAACGAAAGAGAACGAGAAGAGCAGGGAAGAAAATGTAGCAGGGGAAAAAAACAAGATCGAATCAAGAAAGCAGACTTCACGTCACACCTCGCCACACATCCGCAAACCCCAAAAAACCTCTCCACACCTCTCGGACATGACAGCCAAGACAAGGTTATCCTGGTCAAACAGGGAAATTCCCAGCAGCCCAGTCTTCCACACACTCACCTCTCCCCACCCACCTCCACACCCTTGCAACCCTCTACACCACCGTAAACAGCTCCCCATGCCTTGTCACCCCTCTCCACCCCTTTCAACCGCACCTCTCAGACACAAGCGTGAAGAAGAGGTTATCCGGATCCAGCAGGGAAATTTCCAGCAGCCTTCGCTCTGCATCCACCATGGTGATGTCGCCCCACACAACCTGGTGTGGGGGGGTTGGTAGGGGTGGAGAGGGGTGGAGAGCGGTTGAGAGGGTAAACCATCTCTCCACCAGCCTTCGCTCTGCATCCACCACGGTAATGTCGCCCCATACTACCTGAAGGGGGGGGGGTTGGTAGCGGTGGATAGGGGTGGAGAGGGGCGGAGATGGGCAAATCATGTCCAGCAGCATTCGCTCTGCGTCCACCATGGTGATGTCGCCCCATACTACCTGGTGGGGGGTGGCTGTTAGCGGTGGAAAGTGGTGGAGAGGGTCGGAGAGGGGCGGAGAGGGGTGGAGAAGGGTGGAGAGGGGCAAATCATCTCCAGCAGCCGTCGCTCAGCACCCACCATTGGGGTGCCGCCCCTAGCGGTGATTGGGGTGGGGAGTTAATGGGAGTGGGGGTGGATGGGAATGGGTAGGGTAGGGTGGAGAGTGCAATGCACTGACAATTAACCTCCAGCGGCCGTCACTCCGTGCCCACCATGTTGATGCCGGCTGACGGGGGTGAGGGGGCAGGAATTGGGAGGGGTGGAGAGGGGTGGAGAGGGGTGGAGAGGGGTGGAGAGGGGCGAAGAAAGCAAATCAACATTAGAGCAACCGTTGTTCCGCGTCCACCAAGGTGGTTCCACGACATTGCAACCCAGTACAGTACAATTCAGTACAGTACCAAAGAGTACACTACAATATAGTGCAGTACAATGTAGGACAGTACAATTCCATACACTTTATAATGGAAAATCGTACGTGTATTACAGTGTATATAGTACATACATACCTCGCCACTGGGCACTTGGCGACCTAGGAAGATTGGCGAGGGCGTGTTGTCCGCAGTGATTTTGAAAGTAGGGATCGGAGCTGTGCACGTAGATGGAGTCAATCTAGCACAGTACGATTCAGTACGGTACAATGTGGTACAGTGCATGATAGAATAATAGTACATACCTCGCCACTGGGCACTTGGCGGCCTAGGAAGATGGGCGAGGGCGTGTTGTCAGCGGTGATTTGAAAGGAGGGATCGGAGCTGTGCACGTAGATGGAGTAGCGGTGCTCGTGGCCCTGCCACGTCAGCAACGCACGTGGCAGCACACGTCAGCAATGGTCAGCAGACCACATCAACAGCATTCAGCAGCGCACATTTGCAGCATGTGTCAGCAATATAAGATGAGAAGGGGGAATATTCGCACAGGGAGAGTGACGTGTGGGGCGTGTGGTGCATAGGGGGTATGATTTGTGATAATAGTGATGTTGGTTACGAGAATGTAACAATGTGAAAAATACGACAGGGCAACAAAGTAACAAAAGGGCAAAGTAGGTCATCTCACAGCTTACCTTAAAGAATTGCTCCCATAGCGGAGCAAGCGGGATGGTCGATCTCGTCAGGAACAGAAACGCCATTTTCCCGCGTTCCTCACTGCTATACGGATCACTCGATAATCTGCTCTCAGCGGGAATCGAACTCGGGTCAAACACGAAATCCTCCATTCCATCAAATCGAGAGTTTTCTTCCGAAACGGTGTACTTCCAACGCGCCGCGAACGGGAATAAGCGGCAGTACGGACTAGGAGTGGAATAGGTAAGCGGCCCGCGAAAGGTGACTATCGGGGTTCGCGTGCAGGTCGGGGAGATTAGGACGAACGCGAAGTAGTATGGCGGCGTGAGGAGGAGGAGAGAGATTAGTACAAAGTTGAGAGATTTGCGTAAGAGCCGGGGAATGGATGAGAAACCAAAGAATTTGGAGTAGGAGGATGATGATGAGGATGAGTAGGAGGAGGATGACTTCTGAGATGAACACGTGGCATTCTCAAAGGACTGGCCCTGCTGCTGCTCCTTGTGATTGGCCGAGCCGAACCGTGCTGAGTCGTACTGGATCTTGCCTGATTGGCCAGTATCATCATTAAATAGGAGGGTTTTCTTTAACGATTTATCCCCGCCATAATTGTCGAACGGACTGGGCCGTCTCGTATTAGCACCGGTACAACCAGTACCCGTACTAGTACCAGTACAGGTACGATTTGATTGGTCGAGATGTATGACGTGGCTTGCAGGTAGAGGACTCTTCCTCCTCCTGCCTTCCTCCTTCATCCTGTCAATTCGGGTGTCTGAAGTTACCCGATACGTTAGGTTATCTTATTCGTAACTGTATCGGGGGGGTGTCTTAATCGCTTCCTTGGGGAAACCTGGAAATTCTCAGACTACGCTTAAGGAAACAGTAGTGAGGTATCAGAGAAACCCTAGAAAAGAGTTGAAAAAAGTTGACTGATCGGTTGCGAAAGGAAATGAGGAAGGCTGATGGAGGATAGCCCGAAGCAACGGAGATTATCGTTGGTTAACGGTTCCCGGAAGGAAGAAAGATGTTAAGAAGGCATAATCCGTACGGAAGCCTTTCCGAACCAGCAACTCTCAGCCTCACGTCGCGACAACTACATCATAATGCCTACTAGATATGGCAACAGAACGTCACTAGTACCTTACTCGCTGTAGCCTAGACTGAAGGGGAGCAAAGCGATCGGCGGGGACTAACGGAGAACTGCAACGAGAGGAACCCGTGCCGTGCCGAAGCGGGAGAATTCCGCGACTACAGTACTTCCTCCAAGAATCCTGAGGGTGCTGCAGGGAGAGGAGTTAATTCCCTGCCCGAATGGACGGTTGGATGAAAATATGCCAGTTCGCGGCGACGGTCCGATCTGGTTGGTTGGGGAAGTGTAGAGGGTAGCTCATTCGTTGGTGGTCAGGACCGGTCTGGCGGGTTCTGGCGGGAAGGATATTTGATGGAAGTTGATTGGCTCGTTTCTGAGAGAGGCTGACAGCTCGAAGAGGAAGTGTTGATTCTCGTCATTATCGAGCCCCTTAGTGTATTAAGATACATCTGCATGTCACTGTTTCATTCTCCCCTATCGAGAAGAAATTGAATAGTGTGTCAACAATGATATAGCAAGTAACTTTTTGGTGACAATATTGGTAGCAGAGTAAGAGCAAGAGAGGGGGAGGGATCTAGGGAGGAAGAGGAGAGATGGAGAGGAAGTGAGGGAATCTTAGAGTGAGGGGGTGAGGAAGAGGGACAAAGGGAAATTAAGAGGGTGATAGAGAGGAAGGGGAGAGAGACAGAAGCAACCAGAGAGTAGAGTGGGCAAGAAGCAGGACACTTCGGGCCAGTCTCTTTCCCTTCCACACTTGAATTGACCTGCCATGTCATCTTGCAAAACTGTAATTTACAACTCAACACTAACAAAAAATAAGCAAGCAGTTACACTCTCAGTTCTGCAGCTACCCACCACCCCACTCCAGTTCATATATTTTTTCTTCACTTCTTAGCAACGTATGCGTAATACTGGAGCATTGGAACCACAAACGCGATAACCAGCAGACCCCCCACGACCGTCGTGAATTGGTCGCGCTTCGACTCCGTCTCCTCGCGCGTCTTGTAGTTGGATTCCCGCTTCGCGTCGTTAAACTTAGGCCCCGGAATGTCCGGCTGCCCATCAATCCTCGCTACAAGGCGCTTCACTGTAGAGTACATGGCCTCGTTGTAACGCTCCTCAGTGGCCAGGACTGCGGGGGAAGAGGAAGATGTACGGGAAAGGGACGGGGATAGGGGGGTGGGCGTTGATACATGTGAGGCGCTTCACTTTAGAGTGCATGGCCTTGTTGTAACGCTCCTCAGTGGCCAGGACTGAGGGGAAGGAGGAGTGAGAGAGGAGGGGGGACGGAGGGGGTTGGTGGGAAAGGAGGAGCGGAGGGATTTTGAACGAATTGATATGGAGGGGGAAAAGGGGGGATGGGAAGGGAGAGGGAAGGAGGCGGGGGGGGGGGGGGGTGGGGGTGGGGAGTTTTGAGCATTTTTTTAGAATGCTTCTTTCTCAGTTGCGAGGCAAAAAGATGGCAGCTGCAGAGACTGAAGGACAACACGGAAAAGAGAGCATAAAAGACATACTCACGGGGAGCGAGGGTTGTATATACATTTGAGGCGCCTCAAAAATACATAGAACGAATTCAGTCAGACTCAACCGGGAGATACTCAGACACAATCCGCGCCCAACGGCGCCCTTCTTCTGCGGGGCGACATCCCCCCTGACGAGGAGCAGCTAGTGGGGCAGCAGCCGCACAAAGAGGGAGACTCACCTGGAAGGGTCTTTGACTCGATCCCTTCAAACACGTTCTCGCCAGGTGGGAACGGGTGACGAGCAGAGACAAGACCAGCAGCAGCGGCAACAGCATGGACCCAGGGACGGACTGACAGAGAGACGGGAGGGAGGCAGGCTGGGACGGAAGCTTCACCTGGAAGGTTCTACGCCACGACGAAGGTGGGACCGTTGGTGACGGCGCAAGAGGTGACGAGGAGAAGCGACTGGGGTAGTATAAGGCGGCATTACCTGGGAGATTCTCAGAAACGATGCCCTCGAAGACGTCATCCCCGATCGTGTCGACGAAGGTGGGACCGCCCGCTACGGCGCCCTCCTTCTGCGAGGTGACGAGGAGAACGACGCCGCGCTTGTCGCCCTCCTCCACCGTGGGGTACCACGACTCGAGGATCTTATCCGCCAGCTCGAACACGTCGCCCTTGCCCTGGAAGGAGGAGGGAAAGACAGGTAAGGAGTGTTCAAGTTGGTAACTTGCTTGTCGCCCTCCTCCACCGTGGGGTAACACGACTCGAGGATCTTATCCGCGAGCTGAAAAACGTCGCCCTTGCCCTACGAAGGGGGGAGAGAAGGGGTGTGTGGGAAAGCAGGGAGAAAACGATGGACGTGTTAAGGAGAATGAGTGGGTACAGTGCCCTTTCCCTTAGGCGTGAGAAACAGAGCACAGAAATAAAAAACATCATTATGGATCAACGGTCTCCCTCGGATCGGAAATTGCTGGGGGTGCCATGCCAGCCATCCCTGAACGTGAGGAGGAGGAAAATCTCGTTCTGAAAAAACAAACAGGTGAAAACAGTGCGACCTAGTTTCGCTCTGGCAATGGGAACTACTCAAGTAGTATATGAAACTGGTGCGGTTCCAGTCATTCTAAAACACATCTGGTAGTGGAAATCATGCTGGCAATACATGAAACTGACGGTGCAAGTTGACTGTTGAGCCAACTCAAAAGACATTTCGTTGCAGTGGGAGATGTATTGCAACGAGAGATGCTTTTCTGTCACTGCATGGACTCATTCGAGCTTAATGCAAGTTTCCTAATGACTTCATAACGCGAATTCTAGTAAACTTACCGCAATCTTCCTAAGGGTTACAGCGTCAATATGGTAGCCAGTCCGCTCCTCCAAATCCGTCAGAAGCTTCGTAATGTCCGACCGCGTGATTCTGCTGAGAACGTTCGCATCGTCGTAATAGTGCGACTCGAGCGGCGGCGGCGACCGCAGGATCGCGAACTCGTCGGCCTTTGCTCCGTCAACGGCTGACGGAGTCAGTTGAAGCGCTGCGGCGAGTCCGAACGCCGCTACGCCGGTTCCTATCTTCTCCCAGATGCTCTTCCCCTCTGCGCGCTTCTCGGCGGAAGAAGCGGAAGGTCCCGCAACGCAACGCACTGCCTGGACACGGGAGGACTTGGCTGACGCGGACTGCGCGACAGCGAGCTTCGCGCCAGCGAGGCTGCTGAGGGAGGAAGAGAGCGACACGGCAGCCATTGCGCGAGAATCTAGCTCAATAAGCTGCCTAGGAAGGTGGGAGAGCAGGGGACGTGGCAGAACAAGGATCCCAACAAGCAAGCAAATGAACTAGATTGAAAAGCAACCTGGGAATCTGCTTCTGAAATTTTACAAAAATGCAAGAGATGGGCGAAATGGAAATGTGGGAGTCGGCGGGGACGGGGCGGGTACGAGGCGGTTACGGGGCGGAACTCCGGGGGAACATGACAGGCAGTCGGGGAAGGCATCAGGGCGTTGTTCGGCTTGGCAGAAGCCGTTGTTCGGTTCGGCAGAGGGCTGTGTTCGGCTCGGCAGCCACTGAGCCAGTGGGGAGGAACTCTTCGTTATGGCGGACACGGTCAGGCGGAGATCCTCTGCTAGCGATTGGCTGCTCTGAAGTGAAGCGGAATCCAGAAGGGCAAAGATCATAATGGGGCCGGAAAATAGCAGGGAGGTGTCCAAATTAGGGCCGGGTAAATCCCAACCGTTCGATACATCCCCGTAGCTGCCCATGTGGCTGGGCCGATAACCCGAACCGAGTTTTTGAGGAAATTACAACTTGACATTCTTTTATTTATATTTTCTTCATACAAAGCTCTCGTCGTATTCCTCTGGAAGATGTTCCTTCTTGTATATATTTAAGAGACACATCACTCAACTCAACGTGACAAAAAAATATAAAACCCGCTCGGAAATGGATGCGACTAGGGGAGTCATCAACCCTAAACTCCTGGCAGGTTCCCGTGTTTAGGGTTGATTCCTCCCGAAAATGCATTCGGGTTCTCTGGGGTTTTAGTTTTTTTCCCTGCCCTAACAGTTCCCGGTAGCGGCTTGGTGGGAACTGTTTTCGTTAACGGCTTGGTGGCGAGCAAATTAACCGCTACCGGAAATGTTTTGCTTACGACAAAACTTTTAATCTCAATCAGTCACGACGCGTCAGAACCTCTAGCAAGTAAAACAAATTTCACGATTATGGGAATTCTAATAAATTCCTCTAAGTTTCCAGGTTCGGCTATCCGGCCCTAATTTGGACACCCCCTTGCTAATTTCCGGACCCAATATGATCTTTGCCCAAACCGGAAGCGGATGATACCAGGGAAAGGGGAGTTCCGCTAGGTCCGGCGCTGGCGCAGCCCAACGTCGCGGGGCGGAGGGCGCAACTCCGTTCGAGGCTTCCTGGGGCTCTCGGTATGTTCGAGGTGCTGGTGCTGACATGTCGTCAGGCATTAGAAAGCTGACTTGGAATGGCTAAATCCGGTGACGTGGGTATCTCTGCTTGCGCGTGATATCCACGTTGCGAACGAAGGGCTCCTTGTAACCAGAAATGACGACGGATGCTTCGTCTGCCACGACCGTCTCCGAATCTCCAAAATCTTCAGTGGATTGCCCGTTCGCTGTTGTCTCGATACTAGACATCCTGGTAAGACTACAGAGATTAGAGCGAACTAAGTGGGTGGACCCTGTTTAATACATCCCTCTATAATCGATTTCCCTTGTTATTCCCACAACAATCTGGTGGAGATGGTGTGTTGCTCGACAATAGCAGCTAAAACAATCTTCTTGCAGTTCAACATACAAGCGGCTCACTTATTTCCTATTCCATTCAATCCCCACAACATCAACAAAAACACAAGCGGAGCTAATCTTGCAAGTGCTTCAACTCCCTGTCTCTGAAAATCCTATCAATAACATCTACAGGGAGTGCATAAGCGGGATCAACTGGCTTGAGATTGGGGTACTCCAACAGACTCAGGCCTGACATGAATGGGGGAGAGTGGGTAGGACAGGAAGGGGGAGGGGCACAGGGTGGGGGGGGGGAGGAATGGGGGAAAATTGGGGTACTCCAACAGACTCAGGCCTGTCTGAAGGGAACTTTGGGAGGGAGGAGGAGAGGGAAAGGGGAACAGACTCAGGCCTGGAACTAGGGAGGGGGGCACAGCAACGGGTGGGAGCGGTAAGAGAGGAGTGGGGGGGGGGGAAGAGGGGGTGGAAAAGGGGTGAAGGAGAAGGGGAGGGGGAATGGATGGTGTCTGGTTGGCATGGTCGGTCTGAAATGGAATTGCACCCTAACACTCTCTCTTTCACCAGTACCCACTCACCAGTGATGCCAAGTTGTTCCAGATGCTGCACACACTATATGCTCCAAACCACATGCCATGCCATGCCATGCCATGCCATGCCATGCCATCCATTCACTATCTACTGCGTGCTCTGTCACCCACTCACCAGTGATGCCAAAAAAGGTATGGAACACATCCACCATGTCCTCTGGTCTGTCAGAGATGGTATGTGCATTTTGCTGCGACCATCCACATGACATGCATCCATGCTCCACACTCCATGCACTTTATGTGCACTACATGCCATGCCATGCCATCCATCCATCCACCCACTATGTGCTGCATGCTCTGTTACACACTCACCAGGAATCCTGAAGAAGATATGGAACACATCCACCATGTCGGTCTGACAAGGTTCCAACATTAGCGTCCATATTCGATGTAAGCATGCTCCATACCCACTCACCAGCGATACCAAATAAGGTATGGAACACATCCACCATGTCCTCTGATCGCACGGAGATAATACCACCATTCAGCCTTGCAATGTTACCGTCCACATGCAATGTAACCCGTGTTACCGTCCACATGCAATGTAACCCATGTTACCGTCCACATGCAATGTAACCCATGTTACCGTCCGCATGCACCCATGTTACCGTCCGCATGCAGTGCTGCATGCACCATATACTCCATGCTTTACATACCTGCTCTATATGCATGCTCCATATACCTCTTCTATATACTTACTCTCTATACCCACTCACCCCACTCACCCCACTCACCCCACTCACCCCACTCACCCCACTCACCAGCGATGCCAACAAAGGTATGGAACACATCCACCATGTCGTCTTCTCAGTCCCAGGTGTTTTCAACCCCATGCATTACATGGTCCAACCAATCTCCCACTCACCAGCAATACCGAAGAAGGTATGGAATACATCCACCATGACGTCTGGTCGGTCTGAGTTGGTATTGCCATGCACCCATGCTCCACATGCAGCATGCACCATATGCTCTGACACCCACTCCACTCACCAGCAATACCGAAGAAGGTATGGAACACATCCACCATGTCGTCTGGCCGGTCAGAGATCCCGCCCCTCTCCTCGTCCTGTGTGCATGCATGGGAGCAGGGGAGGTTCTTGAGTCGCCTCAAAACAGACTCATGGGAGCAGGGGTGGTTGACAAGGTACGGAACACATCCACCATGTCGTCTGGTCAATCCGAGATGCCTCCCCTCTCCTCGTCCTGCGTCCGTGCATGAATGAACGGGTGGGCGGATGGGTGGGTGGGTGGGGAGGAGGGGAAAGGGGAAACTTGAGGCGCCTCAAGAGGTGATGTTGCCCCTCTCCTCTCCTTATGGGGGTTTCAAAAAGCCTCTGTTGAAACCACCTGACACTGTAGCAGCTACTGCAACCACCTGACAGTCCTTGATTTGCATAGTGTCATCCAGAGCACCTGAAATTGTTGCAACCACCTGAGAATACCGCAATCCCCCCAGTCAAAAAAAGAAGATGCTACTGTCGCAATTCCCTGTTGCAATCACCTGACAGTGTTGAAATCACCTGACAGTGTTGAAATCACTTGACAGTGTTGCAATCACCTGACAGTGTTGCAATCACCTGACAGTGTTGCAATCACCTGACAGTGTTGCAATCACCTGACAGTTTTGCAATCACCTGATAGTGTTGCAATCACCTGACAGTGTTGCAGTCACCTGACAGTTTTGCAATCACCTGACAGTGTTGCGATCACCTGACAGTGTTGCAGTCACCTGACACTGCAGAATGAGGTGCTGAAGCTTCCCCGCATTGATGAAAACACCTGACATTGTTGTAATCACCTGAGACTGTTGCAATCACCTGACACTGCAGTATGAAGTGCTGAAGCTTCTCTGCACTGATCCAATGCACCCTGTCGATGAGCACCAGGCTGGAGAGCACCCACCAGGAGTAACACACCTGAGAGAAGAGAAACAAAGTATGGAAAGGGAGCGAGAGGAATTGAGTGACAGGGAGTGACAAGGAGTGCGAGGGCGTGAGAACATGGATGCACTTCTCTACACTGATCCAATGCACCCTGTCACTGAGGACAAGGCTGGACAGCACCCACCAGGAGTAACACACCTGAGAGAGAGGCAAAGGAGTGAGAAGAGAAACAAAGCAAAGGAAAGACAGAAAAGAGAACACAAAGCTTCTCACCTGCCCCTTCCTCACCAGCTGGGGTGGTGGGCGGGCAGGTGGCAGGCAATACAATCGCCTCTGTACAGCTCAAATGCCATCTGCTTGCATACTCACGTCTGGCAGCTTCTCAGGTCTTCCGTTCAGCCCTCCTGCTGGCACCTGCCGTTCTCAGCTGCTCCCACAGCCAGCAGTCCAAGAGGCAGCGTGGCAGCAGGCAGGTAGACAGGAGGTAGGTAGATAGTGGGGAAATAGCAGGTAATACTCACGTCTGGTAGCTTTTCAGGCCGGCCGTTAAGTCCCCCTGACGGCACCTGCCGTTCGCACAGCCACCAGCCAAGGAGATCCCGATCCACCAATGAGAGTGCACCAGCTATTGCCAGTGCCGCCACACAGCAGAAGACTGAGTTCGGAGGTCGACGGGCGTTGAGGGCGTGGGAGGGAAAGGGGTGAAGAGGGGGGGGGGGATGGAGAGAAGAGTGAAGTATAAGGTTCTGGAAGCTGGCATGGACTACAGACATATACATCCTAGACGGATAAATACACATGAACATAACTTTGTATGCAGACGTGCATATGTGTGCGCGCACGCACACACCCGAACCAGCCACCGAAGTTCTGAGAGCTGGCAACGACTAGATATATCTTGATGAGTGAAAAATAAAAACAAAATATGCATACATGCTGATATATAAATGTAGAGCTCCCTTGCACTCACTCTGCCCTGCATGTGACTCGCCGCCCGGAACTGAACCAAATCCGCCGTCGAAGTTCTGACAGCTGGCGATGAATCGGACGGCTGCGGGGAGGTCGATGGCGTGCATGCGATCGAGGAGAGAGAGGCAGGAGATGGCGCAGTAGGAGAAGCTGGAGGGGGAGGGGGGAGGAGGGAGGGGTTGGTGGGGTTGGAAATGCAAGAAGATGGGGAAGACTCATCAGACGGCTGCAAGGAGCTCGATGGCATGCGTGCGACCTAGCAAGGAGAGGTAGGAGATGGCGCAGTAGGAGAAGCTGGGGGGGAAGGGATTGGAGGGGGTGGAAAAAGGGGGGAAGGGGAGGATGTGGGGGGAGAATGAGGAAAGGAAGGCATGAGGTCGATGGCGTGCATGTGATCGAGGAGAGAGAGAGGCAGGACATGGCGCAGTAGGAGAATCTGGGGGGGGTTGGGGGTGGAGGTGTGGGCGGGGGTCGGGAGGGGGTGGAGGGGTGGGTGGAAGGGTGGGTGCGGGTCGGGACGGGGGTTGGAGGGTTGGGTGGATGAGATAGGGGGACGGGACGGGACGGGATAGGGGGTGGGGGTTGGCGGAGAAGATGGGAATGCTGGTTTTTGAGAATTCTCAAGAACATGGGGGCCGATGCATAAAATGGCTGCGGGGAGGTCGATGGCGTGCACACGATCGAGGAGGGAGAGGCAGGAGATGGCGCAGTAGGAGAAACCTGGTAAGGGGGAGGGGGGGAGTTGGGGTGAGGGAGATGCAGGAACGTGGGGACAGTGGACCAGATAGCTTGTGGGGAGGTCGATGGCGTGCATGCGATCGAGGAGAGAGATGCAGGAGATGGAGCGGTAGGGGAAGCTGGTAAGGAGGAATTAGGAGGGGGAGGGGGAAAAGGGGGGAGAGGGTTAGTGTGGGACGGAGGAGGAGGGGGAAAGCAAAATTTGAATGACTCAGTTGATGGTGTGATTGAGTGTGATTGAGGAACGAGAGGCAGAAGGACGGGGGGTGCAATGCAGTAAAATATGGGGGAAATTTATCATACAGCTACAAAGGACGACGTTTTGCTGATGGTGAGTGCGTGATTGAAGAACTAAAGGAAGAGATGGTAGAGTGAGAAGTGCTTGGCAGAAAAAGGACAAATGGGGAGGGGGCAGGAGGGAGAGTGAGACATAGGGCACCCACTGTATTTTCCACCAATCCACTGTGCCTGCAGCCCACCCACTGTGCTTGCCGCCCACCCACTGTAACCACCCCCCTGAGTTTCGCTACTCACCGAGTGTCCACCTCCCCCCATTCGTCTCCAATAAACGACCCATCTGCCTGCTGTAGCCCTGCTACATCTGCCATGGAGACAAAAAGAAAAGAAAAGAAAAATACACAAGAAAATCAAGTAAAAGAGATCCCCTACAGCCATTTTGGAGCTTCATGCAAAGTCAATGATTGGCTGCCAATGCATGGTGCTACATACAATTCGCTACATGAAATTCGAGGAGTCGTCGTTTCTTGGGAAAAAGGTGACACTTGAAACGGACTTTGAAGAGTCTTGAGAGAGAACACAGAGGGGCAGGCGATGTGTTGATGAAAACAAGGATTGACGAGTGAGAGACTGACAGGCGGCAATGCGGTCGGCGTCCACAGCATCCAATTTGTCCAGTAGTGCGAGGATCTGGACGGCACTGAGCGTGTAGAGCAAGTGAGAATCATGCCCTTTGCTGCCGCCAAAACCACCTGATGGGAAAGAAGGCGGGAAAGCATGTGGAAGAGAAGGAGAGGGGGAGATAATGAGGATCTGGACAGCTCTGAGTGTGTAGACGAGATGACCATCATGACCCACGCTGCCACCAAAACCACCTGAAAAAGCATGGGGAATGCATGCATGCTAATAGACGGAGAGAGGGAGAGAGGGGAAGTGAGAGGATCTGGACAGCACTGAGTGAGCAGGTGAGCAGCTTTTGAGAATTCTCAAAAGCATCATGTCCTTTGCTGCCACCAAAACCACCTAAGAGAAAAGAGAGAGGGAGACAAGAACAAAATGAGGATCTGGACAACACTGGGCAGAGAGAGCAGGTGAGATCCGTGGCAGCCAGGGCAGCATGGCGGGGCTGCGACGCATGTACATGCACACGCACACACATACATAAACACACACCTCGCACGCATGCACACTCATGCACATAGAGAGCGAGACACACACACGCATACCGTTGGGTAGCTGGCAGGGGAGCAGCCAGGGCAGCATGGCGGGGCTGTGCATGTCAGCAAGCACGCAAATGCATGCATGCACACGCACCCTCACACACACACACACACACACACACACACACACACACACACACACACACACACACACACACACACACACACACACACTCACACACACACACGCACACGCACACACACACACACACACACGCACACACACACACACACTCACTCACTCTCTCTCTCTCTCACACACACACACACACACCCCATCTGGTTGCTGGCAGGAGAGCAGCCAGGGCAGCATGGCGGGGCTGTGCATGTCCGCACACACAGGCACACGCACATGTATACACGCACACCCTCACAGGAATGCACTCACACACAGAGAGAGACACACACGCACACACACCATCTGGTTGCTGGCAGGAGAGCAGCCAGGGCAGCATGGCGGGGCTGTGCATGTCCTGCAGTCTCCCCATGAGGTCCATCGCTGTCAAACCCCAGTAGGCCCCGCTCATCCTCAGATGCTCTGTTGCCACGTACTCGATCCCCTCTGTTTTCTACAGTAACATAATGGAAATTTACATAAAAAACGAGAATACAAACCAACAAAGAAACAATGGTTGCTGCTGTTTCACACTTCCACTCGTAACAGTCCGAGACTGTAAACGAGGGAATCAATTGAGGTCAGTCAGAGGAGCAAAAAGATCACCAGAACACATACTCTGATTAGAGCCCTCAAAACACGTACCTTCTAGTTTTGAGGCGCCTCAACACTAGACGTACTCTGACTAGAGCCCTCAAAACACGTACCTTCTACTGGTCCCTTGAGCATGTACTTTGTCCTAATTCCCTGAATCACAATAACTTGCCCAGATTCACTGAATCACATACTTTGTCCAGGTTTTTTATGTACTTTGCGTGCTTCGCCATCAGCAAGCGACCTCGCGGATTCTGCGGGTCAATCTCATCTTCCTCCTCCGCCTCTTCTTCCCCTCCTCCCCCTTCTTTCCCGTCTCTCCCTTCCTTCCCTCCTTCCCCTGTCTTCTCCTTGTCTGCAGTCTGTTTTGCTGATTCTTCAGGCTTCGTTCCTGTTTTAGAAGCCGACGCGTCGCTGTTGCTTCCGGAAGGTTCATTGCCTGAAGGATTTCTCTCCCCCTGTCCGTCAGATTCCTGCTCACTCCGCATTTCACTGGCTGATTCCGTCCCGCTGTGATTTATCTCCGACGGCTCGGCATTCTTCGCTTTGCTGCTGTCGCCGTGATCGGCAGCCATAGAATTTCGAAAGAAAGCAACTGGTTGCTATTGAACGGCTAATGCGCAGAGTCGGTCTCAGTGGACTCGGGATCTACCTCCGGGTTGTGTGCTCGTGCGTTCGGGTTAGTTACAGATCGTTCGGTACGGACACTGGGTAATTGTAAATGGTTTACAGAGATTCACCGTTTTGAAATGCTGCTCACCGTTCTGAACCCGGGTACTTGAATTTGCAATTATTAGGTTAGCTTTCAACGGGGGGTGAGCGTTTGTTTTCAGTACATCGCAATGCTTCGGAACGCACCACACCTAATAAAACCGTGTGTTACATGCTAGAAAATCAAATTATCCCACCACATTTAGTGCTCTACACAGCTAAAACCGCCTTGACAAGACATAGCAAAACATATTTCCTCTATTTCTTGTTCTTGAATACAAAAAATGTGAATAATGGAAGTTCTGAACTGTTAAAAAACGATAACTTGAATGGACAACATATAAATGTCTTCCCAGAAAACCTATATCATTATCCAATTTCACTTGTCCCTTTCAGTACAGTGTTCTGCAAAGGAGTCTACACCAGTGTTTCCCTCACTAAAGCGTACGAACTTCAGGGTTTTCATCTCTCCAGTGACCCTTCCACCTCCATCTCGCTCCACCTCAAGCTCGTCCTGCACGAACTTGGGGACTAGTCAAGACTGACGTAGTTCCTAAATTTCTTTATTTCCTGTCGTTGCAGCGTCTCCGTTTCGGCTGCATCAGTCAGTCGCCATGGATCCAGATGCTTTGGCCAAGGCGTTCGTGCAGCACTATTACACCACCTTCGACACGGCTCGCACTAATCTGTACACGTTATACCAGGATCAATCAATGCTGACGTTCGAGGGTGAGAAGTTCCAGGGAGTGCAAAACATCCAGAACAAGATCTCGAGCTTGCCTTTCCAGTCCTGCACACACGTTGTTAGCACGGTCGATTGCCAGCCGTCGGGTCCCGGAGGCGGAATGGTCGTGTTTGTCAGCGGGAGCTTGAAACTGGCAGATCAGGAGCATCCGCTCAAATTTAGCCAGGTAGGTTGGATATTTACGCAACGTTTACCATTGATCTGCAAGGTTTTCAGCAATTTATTCGTTGGAAACCCTAATCTAAGCGCATCGTGTATATTACTCCCATCTAAGCTCCACTGGTCTTCGGCTGGTTTCATCGTGCATTTTTATAAGAAGCTCCGTTTCCCTCGGCGCGCTTTTTCCTACAGATGTTTCACTTGATGCCTACACCTGCTGGGAGCTTCTACGTCCTCAACGACATTTTCCGGCTGAACTATGGTTGATGACTATGCTGGTGTATAGTGGACCATTTATGGGAAGAATTTCATGCATTATTGTACTCAAAATAGTGAACCGGCCTCCTCTGATTACACTGACTTCAAACAAGGGCCTGGAATGGACGGCAGGATGCCCACTTACAGAGGATGAGTACCGATATGGCAGGGACGGTATTTGGAGGTAGAGTAGAAACAGGGTACTTCGTAGCAGAAAAGATTGAAAGAGTACAAAGAACCCTGGGATCATTGGGATGGGATGGGATCATTGGGATGGGACCCTGGGGTGCATGTGGTGTGGTTGGACAGGAAAGGCTGAGTGGGGATATCCTACAGTACTTCGGCCACTGCAACAAGGGTGCTTCAACAAGAATGACTCCAAGAAATTGCATGTTACCCAACTATCTTTTACTGTACACACACAAGTAAAGAGGGTGAAGAGAAGACACGATTCATTGAAATGGAGAGCTCCTGCAAAGGGGACATGCCCCAGCTGTTGCTAGCCATGCTGTGATGCATTGCTGGTGAAATGACTTGTTACAGCATGGGAGAGTGACTGCAGATTCCCCAACAACCATTTCAGAAAGGCAGACAATACACCTGGTGCACAGGGGAGAGTACATACACAACAAAGGGAGCAGCAGCGAAGGGTGCATGGTAAGGGAAAGGGAGGAGGATATTCATACAGAAGAAAAGATGCACATGAAACAATGGACAGGAAAACGGGAGGCAGGGGGCAGGCACTATGATAGAAGATGTAGATGAAATGGTGGTTTGCGTTTGTGGGCCAAAATATCAAGGGGTGGACACACATGCACTTACTCTTGTTTCTCTTCTTGCTCTGCTGCAATGGGGTTCGAAACAAGCTGCGCTAGCTGTTGTGTGCTCGCTCCCTTTTTCACCAGCTTCGCTGACCTGGCTGCCGTTTCTTGCCCCTGCAACTGTAAGCCATGGGAAAAAAGGAAGGACTTAAAAAAGTGGATCAAGCAAGGTGGTTACCAGATTTCAGGTGTCAGCTACGATGTTCTCAAGGACTGTCGGGTGTGCAGGCATCCATTGAATGCAGCAGAGGGCAGAATTTATGCCTCCTTTACGGAGCCAGTCTCCACATCAACTGCTGCATGTGACTCAATGAATTCGCATACCTTTAACTTGAGAGCGTCAAGTCAGTTTACACAAGCCTGCATACCTCATCTGTAGAAGCGGTCTCCACATCAACTGTTGCATTTGTCTCTGATGCTGCTTCCGGAGATTGAGTGGAAGTAGCCCGTCCGGCAGAGGCTGAACGATCAGAATCCAGACCAAACGGGTGCAGGAATGGCAGCGTGACGAGGAGGCGCCAGGGAGACACATGGCGCGTTCTCGTCCACACAATCCAAACCACAGCTAGCCGGAAAATAATCAGGCCGACCAGGCCACCAATCACCACCAAAAGAACCGATATGGTCAGAGCTCGGAGAAGAGTTGCAGAGTCAAACAAATCTGATTCAAAAGAATTGGTGGTATTGGGAAAGGAGTTTGATGGCAGTGGTGACGTAATTTCCGGGGCAAAGACGAGAATTGGGACGGAGAAGGGTGGAGGAGGAGAGGGTGGGACGGGGTTGCTGCTGAGGGAGGAGAGATGCCGATGTGTAAGCATGGCTGGCAGCTTAGTTGAAGCTGATTCAATTGCAAGGAGCTATGCTGGAAGATGTCAAAGCAACCGTGTAGTATATCGGATTCAGAAGAGCTTTTCAGAGGGGAAGAAGCTGATCAAAGGTTCAGTATAAGCTGTTGATTGCCTTGTAAATTGCCTTGTCATTGCTGCATCAGCTTCGCTTGGTCGCTGTGAAAGCGCATTGACATGGTCGTGCAATCCCGGCCAAGTGCAACCAAGCACTTCAAGAATGGAATCCCGGATTGCAGCAGTAGGGACCAGATCACTCAGTAAACTGGAGGTAACGAACGACTTGTAACCACAATTCGTTTGATCCCTCTAGACAAAGAACCAGCAATGCAACCTCACCAGCGCTACACAAGGCACGGGTACTGCTGACACGTCTGAGACGACACTTGGGACGTCAGACTTGCATTCAACGTCTCAAAACAACCGGCTCAGAATGAAACTGCAAACTCGATTGTAGAGACACGAGATTGCTTCACAGCAAATCTGGCTTTGGAAGGAGCCGATCAGCTGAAGCTCTAAGAAGGTGCGGAACGGCTGAAGCTCTGGAACTGACTTAGAGCTTCAATCACACCAGGCCTGACAGGAATGAGAAAGGCCAGATTAACATTGAGGCACCTCAGAAGAAGCTCAAGAACTGAATCGCCAGGCGTGACAGGAATAAAAAAGGTCAGGCTAAGATCGACTTGTTTTACACCTCTCAATCTCTCTTCAGTTCCGCCAACTTCGATCGTCTCCGGCGGATTCTCTTCTATGTGAAAATCAGAGGACAATCCAATGATAATTTGACGACTGCGAAACCTGACAGCCCCGGTTGTCAATCAGGGAGCGAGGGACGCAAGGATGGAGTAAGACGAGGTGTGGCGTGGGTAAGCTCGCGCGGAAATCGCGATGATGTGACGCATGATGCGCCACAGGACGTAAGCTTTCTCGGAAGCAGCGATGCTTGAGACTCCAGAGGTTTTTTCAACGGGTCCATTATCCCAATGAGGGCCATAATACAGCTTCCTTAGTCCCTTTTGTCGACCAGAAAAAGCAGCAATAGGTGACAGCGACGACGACGGCGAGGTTTCCGAGAAGGGAGGCTAATCCCTGACAGCTCGAGCTAGCTATATTGCTAGCTATAATGCCTGCTCTTCATGGCCTCGAGCTTGTCGCTTTCCCTGTGAAATTGTGAATGACCAGCAGCTGTCAATCACCGCTATGACTTCCACTCCACCCGCTCGACAATTAGGGCGCGTCCCCTCCCTCGATCGATCGCGCGATCGCTGTGAAAAACCGATCGGGCACACCGATCGCAGGATTGGGGCGGGATTCGTAGGAGGTGACAACTGCGGATCGATCTCGATCCCTGGGTGACAGGTTCGTGAATACAAGGGGCAAACAACCCTCGATCCTTCTAAAGCCGAGATCGGTGTGGCCACGAGGGCACATCGATCGTCACAGCGGAGGTGACAAGATCGATTCAAATGGTTCTCTTATCTCACGCAACGCCAAGGCTTTCAGCAGCAGCGGTATTCCCAAGGGCATGCTTGAGAGTGGCATTGATGCCACTGATTTCGCCCTTGCCGTTGCTACAGTGCTCTCCAAGCCCAAATTCTCCATGGAGGCTTGCCGGATATTCTTCACAGATGCTAATAACGAGTACAGAGTGAAGTTGGAGAATTTTGCAGCTGAGGCTGCCAGGAAGAAAGTAGGCATGGCTGCAGAAAGAGAGAGAGGGGGTGGTGACACAAAGTGCCGTGGAGCTGAGATTGGTGTGAGACATACAGTGAAGGATGGCTGGGAGGCGGTAATCGCAACTAGTAACACGCTCGTGACTGTGCTGACGTGGAGGGTGAGCTGCATTCTCATGTGGGTCCGAACCTACGGCCCGAACCTGCAATCTTCGAAAACGTGTGAATTCCGAGCCTGCGTCGAAAAGAGGATCTCCCAGTCCTCCGCCACCCGTTCCGGGATGTCCCGAGCCTGCTGATCATGTCCGGCACCATGCCGGAGCCCTTGGTTCGGCGGGGCTTTTCTTGGGAGTGGGAAGAGGTGCCTGCTGGCGATGAAGCTGCTACAAAGCTTGCTGATGACGTGGAGGGAAGGATTCTATATAAGAAAATCCTTAAGGAAGTGTATGGGGCCACTGTTGACTGGAAGATTCCAGCGAATGCAGCAGCAGCATCGTCAGCAGCGTCGTCATCAGCAGCAGCTTCGAGAAGCCGTCCGGTGGTTCGCACTGTGGCAGACGTGGAGTTCCTGGTGGAACTGATGGCAGCAGAGAGAGAGCCTTCCAGGTGCACGCGGTGCTGGAAGTGCCACCTCAGGCATGCTGCTGCCATCAACTACATAGCCCTGCTCGCCTCCTTCGCCTACCGCCCCATCTCCACCCTCATCCACCGCTTCCTCTTCCTCTTCCCCCCCGACCAAACCAAAGAGGCGTACACGCTTCTCCGCATGTTTATGCCGTCAGGGCAAGAGGAAGAGGTCAACTGGAGGCACGCGAGGGGATACTTGGAAGGGTTCGCGGAGGAAAAGGAGATAGGGACGTTGACGCATGCGTGTACGATGATAGCGTGGATGTGGGTCAAAGAGGAGGAGACAAATCCAGGGCGGTTTGCTCGGCTTGCAGCGCAGGAGGGTGCGGAGCAGGGAAAGGGTGGGGTGGGCAAGTGGAAGCAGTTGGATAGCGAGATGTGGGAGGAGGTTCGGGCGTGGAGGCACGCTGCCAAGGCTGCATGGCCTGGGGACAAGAGGAACTGGATGGGAGAGCTGCAGGATGAGTGCACAGGTGGCAGAAAAAGGACGAAACGTGAGAGCAGTGAGGAGGAAGAGGGGGGAGAGGAGGGGGAAGAGGAGGAGGAGATGGTGGGAGGGGAGAAGGGGCCAGTTTATGCGCAGAAGTGGATGGGAGGAGTGAACCTGGTGGCTTGCCTGAGAGCCATGCTGCTAAGGGAGCAGTGGACAGGTGGTTCAGCAGCAAAGACAGAAGCGGTGAAGCGAGCAGCAGGGAACAGCGTCACTCAAAATAGAGCAGGAGCAGGGGCAGGGAGCAGAGCTGCAAGGCGTGAAGGGGCTGGACAGATGCATCGGGTGTAGACACCCGGGCAGAGCGGCTGAAATCAGGGTACCGGCGGGTGTGCCAGGGGCCAAGGTGCAGCTGTGTGGAGTGGGATGGCTTGGAGCTGAAGATGTGTGCGCGGTGTGGCAGTGAGGCGTACTGCAGCAGAGCGTGCCAGAAGGCTGCCTGGCCCTCCCACAAGCTCACATGCTGCCCAAAGGGGGCTGGGAAAGCAGAGACATGAGAGGCATGAGAGGGTCAGGTGAAGTTAATGAGGCGCCCTGCAGCAGAGAGCACTCACAAGAAGCTCACTTGCCGCCCAAAGGGGCCTGGCCAGAATTTGCCTTGGCCAGAGCATGAAGGCAGAGAACCACCTGTACATGAAACACGACTCGCCTCGCTAGATCCAGGTGCACTAGAAAGGGAAACTGACCAAGTGGTTGGTAATTAGGGAAATTAAATATTCCCAAGCCCAGAACCGTATTTGTCTCCAACCTAGCAAGCTACCGTCATCGCCCGGATATAAGACATATATGTCTTATCTCGTACACGGGCAAAAATGCTTGAGTTATCTTGTAAGCGGGATGGTTTAGGGTCTCTGGATGAGTTCAGGGTTTAGGGTTCTTGAAAAAGAGTTCCTCATAATGAGTGTGGATGTTGCGAAGGTGCCACTTCGGCAACCACTGCCCGGGACGCCACGTCATGGAGAACACCTGCAGAGGCAAATTTGGTAGGTCCTGGGTCAGCGCGTGGAGAAATTCGCGCTTCGCAAGGGTAAAAATGTACGCGTTATTTCAACTTTCGCTATAATATATTGAAGTTTCGATTATAAGACATATATGTCTTATCTCGTACACACAAATAGGTGTCTTATAATGAGGCTAGCCTGTTTATAAGAGACACCCGTATAGTAGACAACCCCTGTCTACTATTCAACACTGTCTTATATCCGGGCGTTTACGGTATGGCAACGAACCTGTCAATCTCAAAAATCGTGAGGCTCGTGTGCTGAAACTGTCCCGAAAGGCCTGAATTGTGGTGGAAATGTCACTCACATGGACCAGTCAAGTCAAATCAGATGAAAAGCATGTGTCAAAACTTATGCATATTACTATCTAGGCTATATTGGGGCTAGCCTTAGGGGGTACAGAAACATTCTCGACACTCTAGGTTTGTACCCCACTGTTGACCTAACCACCACATTCTTGCCTAAGATCTTAACATGGTATAGAGCAGGAGGTCCTTAGGACCTTAGTACCTGTTTTGTTTGGGCCCACCTTAAAATCACCTGCGGTTACCGCGTTACCCCGCGCCCGCCCTACCCTACTACGCGTCGCGCTGCCCCTGCTGGCCGCGCGCCACTGCTGCAGCTCGCATTTTCCTTTCTTTTTTTTTTTTTTCGCGCGCTGCCCTGCCCGCTCTGCCCCGCGCGCGCTACGCTCGTCGCGTCGCCCCGCGGCCCTCGCGCGTGGCCCTTCGCGGCCCTCGCGCGGCCCTTTCGCGGCCGTCCGTGGCTCTCCGCTGCCCCTTCGCGGCCCCCTACGCGGCCCCTCCGCGGCTCTGCCGCCCTGCCGCTTCGTCGCCCCACCGTCGCCGCCTCCGCAGCAGCGGCCGTCGCACCCCCTGCAGCTGCCGTCCCTGCTCCCTGGAGCAGCCGCCCCTGCAGCAGCCGCCCCTGGCCCCTGCAGCAGCCGCCCCTGCCCCTGGCCCCTGGGGCAGCCGCCCCTGCAGCAGCCGCCCCTGGTCCCTGGAGCAGCCGCCCCTACACCTGCTGCCCCTTGCCACTGGAGCAGCTGCCCCTGCAGCAGCCGCCCCTGCCCCTGGCCCCTCGGGCAGCCGCCCCTGCAGCAGCGGCCCCTGGCCCCTGCGGCAGCCGTTCCTGGAGCAGCCGCCCCTGCAGCAGCCGCCCCTGGCCCCTGGAGCAGCCGCCCCTGCAGCAGCCGCCCCTGGCCCCTGGAGCAGCCGCCCCTGCAGCAGCCGCCCCTGCCCCTGGCCCCTGGGGCAGCCGCCCCTGCAGCAGCCGCCCCTGGCCCCTGCAGCAGCCGCCCCTGCCCCTGGCCCCTGGGGCAGCCGCCCCTGCAGCAGCCGCCCCTGGTCCCTGGAGCAGCCGCCCCTACACCTGCTGCCCCTTGCCACTGGAGCAGCTGCCCCTGCAGCAGCCGCCCCTGCCCCTGGCCCCTCGGGCAGCCGCCCCTGCAGCAGCCGCCCCTGGCCCCTGCAGCAGCCGCCCCTGGAGCAGCCGCCCCTGCAGCAGCCGCCCCTGGCCCCTGGAGCAGCCGCCCCTGGCCCCTGGAGCAGCCGCCCCTGCAGCAGCCGCCCCTGCCCCTGGCCCCTGGGGCAGCCGCCCCTGCAGCAGTCGACCCTGGCCCCTGCAGCAGCCGCCCCTGGAGCAGCCGCCCCTGCAGCAGCCGCCCCTGGCCCCTGGAGCAGCCGCCCCTGCAGCAGCCGCCCCTGGCCCCTGGAGCAGCCGCCCCTGCAGCGGCCGCCCCTGGCCCCTCGAGCAGCCGCCCCTGCAGCAGCCGCCCCTGGCCCCTGGAGCAGCCGCCCCTGCAGCAGCCGCCCCTGGCCCCTGGAGCAGCCGCCCCTGCAGCAGCCGCCCCTGGCCCCTGGAGCAGCCGCCCCTGCAGCAGCCGCCCCTGGCCCCTGGAGCAGCCGCCCCTGCAGCAGCCGCCCCTGGCCCCTGGAGCAGCCGCCCCTGCAGCAGCCGCCCCTGGCCCCTGGAGCAGCCGCCCCTGCAGCTGCCGCGGAGCCCTCGCCCTGCAGTGGTGCCGGCCTTGCCGTTGCAGCCGTCGTACGCCTACCTTTCTTGCCACTGGTGAGCACTGTCCTGCCCGCTGTTACTGCTGCTCCTGCTGCTACTGCTCTTTCTACTGCTACTGCTGCTACTACTGCTCGTGCTGCTCCTACGGCTCCTCCCCTTTCTACTGCTACTGCTGCTCCTGGCGTGGCCAGATGCAGCTCCAGCGCCGTCCGCGTGAGTCCCTCCCACCCCCACAGCTTCATGAGTGGTACGCTCGTTGGGGTTGTCGGGGTGGCCGTCGTGGGAGTCGTTCTGGCGTGAGTAGTTTCGGGGCTTCTTGTAGTGGCCAGGTGCAGCTGCAGCGTCGTGTGCGCGCGGTCCCTTCGCCCCCGCAGCTTCATGAGTGGTACTTTCAGCGGGGGGGGTCACGGGGTTCTGCTCGCTGCCCGTACGTCATTCGCACTGGTGCTCGGACTGGCCAGCCTTGCGGGACGTTTGGTCACACAGAGTCCCGCTGCTTCGCCAGTCTGAGCGACGCCTGGCGTACGGAGTTTGGCGACGCGGCTGAGCTCCCCGACTGGGTGGAGCTGCTCCGGCAGAGGGTAGATATCTATGCTCTTGACTTTGATGCTATCCTCACTGCCATGTATGCATTGTCTACTAGTGATGTCGGTGACTGTTCCCTGAGTGCTCCGCCTGACCCGGGTGGTGCAGCTGCTGCTCTAGGTGCTAGTGAGTCTGCTGCTCCAGGTGCTAGTGAGTCTGCTGCTCCAGGTGCTGGTGAGTCTGCTCTCTCAGGTACCACGTCTGCTCCGGCGTCGCACACTTTCACCCTTGACTCGGGTGCTTCCCGCTCCTTCTTTCGAGACCGCACCACTCTCACGCCGCTCAGTCGGCCGGTTGCGGTCTCCCTGGCAGACCCCTCTGGGGGTCCTGTTCTTGCCCACCCTCCACTGTACTACCGTGTCCAGCGGTCCTGTCTGGCTCCCTGTCGGGTCATTATCTCCCCTCGTTCTCTACGAACTTGGTGGCGGGTGCTGACCTACAGGATGGGGGGGTTGACCAGTTCACCCCTGCGCGTCAGCGGGTGACCCACTGCACGTGTGCAGACACGGGCCGACACTTGGCGGGGGTCGAGCCTGTACACCCTCACTACCGAGTCTCCTCCGGTTGCTGTGCCTGGTCAGGTAGCTGCGTCGGGTCAGGTGTTTGCTGCGGCGTCTCGGTCTGGTCCTGAGTCTGTCGCCTCCTGTCCCACGAGACTCTTCTCTGGCACCACCGTCTTGGTCACCCCTCCCTGCCTCGTCTCCGAGGCATGGCCTCTCGTGTCCTGGTCTCTGGTCTTCCCCGGTCGCTCCCTCCCCTCCCCCCGGGGCCTGCCCCTACCTGCGTCCCCTGCGTCGAGGGGCGGCAGCGTGCCGCTCCTCACTCCTCCGAGTTTCCGCCGACAGAGGCTCCGCTGCAGACTCTTCACATGGACGTGTGGGGCCCAGCCCGCGTCCGTGGACAGGGTCACGAGCGCTACTTCCTGCTGGTGGTTGACGACTACTCGCGTTACACCACAGTCTTCATCTTGCGCCGCAAGGATGAGGTCACTGAGGTGTTGATCGACTGGATCCGCGCAGCTCGTCTCCAGCTCAGGAAGAGTTTCGGCTCGGACTTTCCTGTTCTGCGTCTGCACTCTGACAGAGGTGGAGAGTTTTCCTCCGGCCCTCTGCGAGCCTTCTGTCGTGCGAGGGGCATCCAAGCCTTCTCGACATCTGGTTACCCTGTCAATTGCGACACTGTAGCTGTCCCTCGATCGATCGAGGGCAGGATCGATCGAGGGAGGGGACGCGCCCTTAGTTTCAGCTCGGCTTTCAAATTTCAGGTCTCCTCTCCTGGGGCTCTAAACTTCGCCTGTGTTTTGCCTGTCTCCTGACAAACCCAAGAACGTGACGTAAGACTTCACTGTGCTGCGGTTCGTTTGTCTTCATCAAGGTTTGGGTACGGTTTTGAGCACATGCCAAGTGCCCAATGACAGCGCCCAGGGACATACCCGATAGAGTCTCCAAGGGGCGGAACTGTGAACCATATCTAGACTGATAAGATTACATTCGAAGTGTCCATGATTTTTGAGTGAGAGTACCACATGGTTACGCCCATCCCTTTTCTACAGATTGCGGTACATGCTCAAAATGTGTTTGGCGCACTTACAGCAGCTCTTTCAACTGCTTGTAGTCTGTCACACCTTCCCAGCCAACAATTTTATGCATCATCTAAAACCCATTGATGGTGAAAGCGCCATCCACAGCCAACACTTGCCCCGACAGACACGTAGGAAGCAGCCTGCATGCACATGAAGGCCACAGCTGCTGCCGCCTCTTGAGGTTCCGCCTCTTGAGGCACCTAAAGAATGTGTTACACATCATCAGCCCGAGGATAAAATCGGTTTACAGTGAAAGCACCATTGACAGCCAGCACTTGCCCCGACACGTAGGAAGCAGCCGGCATGCACATGAACGCCATCGCTGCTGCGGCCTCCTGACCTGGGCCTCCCATCTAAGGCGCCTATAAAATGGGTTACGCCACTGCTGCTGCCTCTTGAGGCTCCCTTCTAAGGCACCTACGGTATAGAATGTGTTACACATCATCAGTCCGAGGGTAAAACCCATTGACAGTGAAAGCACCATCGACAGCCAGCACTTGCCCCGACACATAGGAAGCAGCCGGCATGCACATGAACGCCACTGCTGCTGCTGCCTCCTGAGGCTCCCCCACCCTCCTCATGGGTGTTCGACTGATGACGTCAGCAGAGAACGCCTCATCCTTGAGCACCTGGGAAAGGTGATTTTGGAGGAAAAAACATATTATCATACTTGAGTTTTGTAGAGTATAATGACAGGGGCATATTAGACAACGCGTGATTGACGTAATCTGTTGCCATGTACACATGATGATAAAATTGTTTTGAGACGTCTCAAAACATCTCTATCACCCATAGGAAGTGCGAGCGTATATTTATTGGACAAAGTACCTGGTTGGCGAGGTCTGTTGCCATGTACCAAGGCGCCACTGCATTCACTCGGATGCCATCCTTCCCCTTATATACCTGGTTACCATTCCAAGGGGGAATGGGGGTTACCTGGTTGGCGAGGTCTGTTGCCATGTACCAAGGCGCCACTGCATTCACTCGGATGCCATCCTTCCCCTTATATACCTGGTTACCATTCCAAGGGGGAATGGGGGTTACCTGGTTGGCGAGGTCTGTTGCCATGTACCAAGGCGCCACTGCATTCACTCGGATGCCATCCTTCCCCTTATATTCCTGGTTACCATTCCAAGGGGGAATGGGGGTTACCTGGTTGGCGAGGTCTGTTGCCATGTACCAAGGCGCCACTGCATTCATTCGGATGCCATCCTTCCCCTTATATACCTGGTTACCATTCCAAGGGGGAATGGGGGTTACCTGGTTGGCGAGGTCTGTTGCCATGTACCAAGGCGCCACTGCATTCACTCGGATGCCATCCTTCCCCTTATATACCTGGTTACCATTCCAAGGGGGAATGGGGGTTACCTGGTTGGCGAGGTCTGTTGCCATGTACCAAGGCGCCACTGCATTCACTCGGATGCCATCCTTCCCCTTATATACCTGGTTACCATTCCAAGGGGGAATGGGGGTTACCTGGTTGGCGAGGTCTGTTGCCATGTACCAAGGCGCCACTGCATTCACTCGGATGCCATCCTTCCCCTTATATACCTGGTTACCATTCCAAGGGGGAATGGGGGTTACCTGGTTGGCGAGGTCTGTTGCCATGTACCAAGGCGCCACTGCATTCACTCGGATGCCATCCTTAGCCCATTCGCATGCCAGGTTCTTGGTGAGCTGGTTCATGGCGGCTGGTTGGGGGGATGGGGGGAAGACATGGGGTGAGGGCAGGAGAAGAGAGGGCATAGGTGGGAACAAGAGGCTATGAGGCCAGTGCATTCACTCGGATGCCATCCTTAGCCCATTCGCATGCCAGGTTCTTGGTAAGCTGGGCTGGTTGGGGGGATGGGGGGAAGACATGGGGTGAGGGCAGGAGAAGAGAGGGCATAGGTGGGAACAAGAGGCTATGAGGCCAGTGCATTCACTCGGATGCCATCCTTAGCCCATTCGCACACTAGGTTCTTGGTGAGCTGGTTCATGGCGGCTGGTGGATGGGCATGGAGTGGTGAGGAATGGGAGGGAGAGGGAGGGCGGGTTGGGGTTAAGGAATTGTGGCGCCGCTGCATTCACTTGGACGCCACTGCATTGGCGCTGCTGCATTCACTCAAACGCCATCCTTGGCCCACTCGCACGCCAGGTTCTTGGTAAGCTGATTCATGGCGGCTGGTCGGAAGAGATGGAGGGCATGGGAGGGAGAGGGATCGCAGAATGGGTGAGGGTATGGGATACGACAAGAGCATCCTTGGCCCATTCGCACGCCAGGTTTTTTGTGAGCTGGTTCATGGCGGCTGGTTGTGGTTGAAAGAGGGGTTGAGGGTTTGGGGAAAGGCATGGAGTGAGGACGGGAGGAGTGAGGCCCTTCCACACTTGATCCGCACCCCCCCCTCCCTTGGCCCATTCACACGCCAGGTTTTTCGTGAGCTGGTTCATGGCGGCTGGTGGAAGGAAGTGGGGGGGAAACGTGGAATACTATCACCAGCAGCATCACCAGCACTATCAGCAGCTGCAGGAGCACCAGTACCACTATCAGTCAACTGGGGGGGCAACTCACCTTTGGTGGCGCCATAGAGAGTGCCTGACCGGATAGCAACGACCCCGGCTACAGACGAGTTGAACACAATGCTCGCATGGCCCTTCACTCCACCATCGGCAGCAGCAGCGCTCGCAGCGGCTTTAAGCAGAGGGTGCGCGAGTTGGCAGAGGTGGTAGGCGGATTCAAAGTTGGTGCCCCATACGTGGTGGAAGTCAGCAAGGGAGTAGTCGACTGTTGGCTTGCGAATGTTGGTGCCCACGTTGTTGATCTGTGGGAAATAGGGAAGGATGGAGGGATGCAGAAGGGAACAGGAGCAGGAATAAAGCGTGTTGGCAGAGGTGATAAGTGGATTCAATGTTGGTGTCCCACACGTGGTGTTTATGCGTCAATGACAGAAGAGGAGGAGGAGCTTGCTGCTTCTGAGCTTGCAACAGAGGAACATGTGGCCGCATACTCGTAGATCTTCATCGCGTAAACCCTCATTCACAAGTAAACCACCAACTATCAGGTGTACTGTCTGTTTTCTAGAATTCTCAAAAACCACCCGCAAACAACCGCCGGCCTACGTACCAGGTGGTTCAGTTTCCCGCCAAAGGTCTCTGACACCTTCGTTATAAGCACCTCCCGCTGCTCTGGCTCCTTGACGTCACATGCCCACCCCGTCGCCGCCCACCCCTGCGACTGTAGCTCCGCCACTGTAGCTGCCACGTCAGCCTCGCCACGCGAGCACACAAACACGTGTGCACCCAGGGATGCTAGCTCCTGTGCGATGGCGCGACTGATGGGGGTAAGGAGGAGGAGGGGGTGGGTTGGGAGTGAGCATAAGAAAGGGGCGGGTGAGTGCTTTGGATTCGGGTCAGATGTAGGTATGCGTTAGCCTCGCCACGCAAGCACAGAAACACGTGTGCTCCCAGTGATGCTAGCTCGTTTGCTATGGCGCAACTGATGGGGGCAAGGAAGGGGGAGAGAGGGTTGGGGAGGAGAAAGGGGAGGGTGAAAAGGGGGGAGAGGGGCGGGTGCTGTGAAGTTGAATCAGATATAGGAGTTTGCCTTGCCACGTGAGCACACAAACACGTGCGCGCTCAGAGATGCACGTTCTTGTGGGATAAAGGAACTGATGGGAGAAAGGGAGGCGGAATGTGGGGAAATGAGGGGGGAGGGGTGAGAGTAAGGGGGAGAGCGGGAGAGGGGGGAAAGGTGGGAAGGGGATGAATGGGACGGCGGCACGAATGGCCAGAGTATGATTTTGATCTTGAATCAGAAGCAACGGATTTAGTGAAAGTGACGGATTCTGTCGCGAGGGTGTGGAGCGGCCGAAATCCCTCACGAGGGAGTGAAGTGATCGGACGGATTCCGTTATGAGAGTGTGAAAGGAACGGATTCGGTCACGAGGGTGTCAAGGAGACGGAGAAAATGGAAAGAGAGCGTAACTATCATCGCGTCGTGTGGTTACCCGATGCCTTTGGTCGCGCCCGTTACAAGAGCCGTCTGCCCATCAAGTCTCCATCTAGCCGCCGCCTTGACGGAATCTGGCGAGGATTGACGATTTGAAAACGCACGTGACGATTAGGCACTCCTGCAACGGCTGACGCACTGGGAAGCAGCAGCCGTCACTGCTGCATTTGGGATTTGAGCGACCCACAAGGTGACTTTTGAGTCGACGTCACAACGCCTGACGCACTGGGAAGCAGCAGCCGTCACTGCATCCAGGATTGGAACGACCAACAACGCACCTCCCCCTCACTGATGATCTCAATCCATTCTCTCTTGCAAGCGACTTTCATGTAGTCGAAAAGTTTCTGTGTCGGGAGTTTCAGAAAGGCTCAAGCAGCTAAGGTTGGGAGCGATTTCACCTTTTCCAGAACGGTTGATTGAGGTTGAAAACTAGAATGATATGCTCTGGCATATAAGGTTTGAGGCTTGCGATTGCTTTAAACGAGGATGTGATGAGGGCCCAGCCAAGCTGAGCAGATAGCCGTTTTTACCACCACTTCGCGCAGACCTCAAGACCCTACCCAAACGCTCTAAAGTACTAGCTTACCGCTTTTTACGCCAAGAACTGTGTTGTACCGCATTTTGCATTGCATTCAAAGAATCTCAGATTGTTTGGTTCGGTGGGAGGGAGTTCTACCCTCCATCACAAATATAAACTTGCAAGGCAGGGCTTTCGTTAGCATTGAGAAAAATAGTCGTAGTACACTGTGCTTTTGCATAGGCCAGAGACCGCCGTTTTGACGATTTCAAAGGCCGGTCTGAAGAGTTATCACACGTGTTAAGACTCTAGCAGCGCGCATCACGTCGCTGGTACACACGCTTGATCGTCACTTTGTGAAAACTTAGCTCATTGCGTTTGGTTTCACGCCGCTGAATTCTCTTATTTCCGCGCCTAGCTCGAACCGCGATCATCATTACCACTAACTCCAAGCGCGCAGCGGAAACAGGACTAATCTCCGCGGACCTAGATTCCTCGTCGTTAGTACCCCCCCGGCTCACGGCTAGAATTATCACCAAGTGATAGCGGATTGGCTGTGTTCCCGTTAACCAGTCCGTGCCGACCTACTAACCGCCATGGCGTCGGACGGACACCCTCCGGAGAACCTAACAGACCTCTTACGCTCTTTGGAAAATTATGATCCTTTGGTGAGTGCGTTGTTGCGTTGAAGTGTCTTCTTATGCCTTCTTCCCTTGAGGCGGCTGGAATGGGAAACTCATTCTCCTCCGGAAAACTTAACAGACCTCTTTAGCGATCGATAGAGCTATCGTTGCCTACCTCCTTTTTTACGTCGCCACTCATTTCTAGGGAAACCTGACGGCCTGACTGCATACTATCTGCAAATAGCTGGTGTCTAAAAATCCAGGCGCTTAAGAAAGCATCCTTTTGAGGCCCCGCAAAATCCGTTCGCGCCCTTCTTCCTCTTCCCCGCTTCCACACCTTTCAGATTCCTGACGACCTCACTGCGTACTATCTGCAAAGACTTGGTGTCAGAAATCCCTCAGGCACCTCAAAGATCATCCTTTTGAGACTCCTCAAAACCCGTTCCCTCCTTTCCTCCTTTTCCCTGTTCCCACTCCTCTCAGATTCCTGACGACCTCACTGCGTACTATCTGCAAAAATCTGGCGTCAGAAACCCCAACATTCACGTGTAAGTGTATAAAAGCATCCAAACGAAACAACTCATAGGCTGTATATACGCTTGTCAAGTCAAGGTCAGTCAGTATACTTGGTTTATTATTGGTGTTCGTGATTCATCTAACCCCTCTCCCCCACCTCCCACTCCAATTCTTACCCCCTCTGACTCTCTCACCCTCTCATTTTTCCCCACCCCCCTCTCTCTTTCCCTCCCCCTTCCCACTCACCCTCACTCTGTGCATGTCTGTCAGCACTCGCCTTGTTTCAGCAGCGGCTCACAAGTTCATAAAAAAGGTGGTTCACAACACTCTCATGTCCTCTTTTATTCCCTTCTCACCAACCCTTCTCCACCCCTTTTCCTCTTCCCCACTGCGCTCTGTACTTCAGCACTCGCCTTGTGTCAGCAGCGGCTCACAAGTTCATAGGAGAGGTGGCCAGTGACGCTCTACAGTAAGTGTACAATTAGTTCTCTACAGGCCTGCTATCATTAATAGTAAGTCTGGAAATTATATACATAAATATATATATATGTACATATGTGTGTATATATATATAACGGTAGGTATAGTACCAATGCTGCACAATCATTTTACTCGTGAATCTCTGCTGCAGATTTGCTCAAGAGTCAAACTCATGTGCACCGAGACCATTCCCTCCAGTCACCTTCCCCCAACCTCTCTACAAAGACTCGAGAATCTGATGTCTATTGGCTTGGCGCCACAACCATTTCCGCCACTCACCTTCCCTCTTCACTCTTCAGAAACTCAAGGAAGTCATGTTTGATGGCTAGAGCGGCAATCCCTCCCTCCCCCCACCATTTTGCAGGTCCCATAACAATGCAGGGATGAGGATGCGAGTAGAAAATGCTGTAAATGTTGTTGCACTCCCCCTCAAACTCTCTCCCCCTTGCCCTCCCCACTTCCCTTTTTAGGTTCTGCAAGATCCGGCAGGCAGGCAGCAGCAAAGAGATGAAGGCGAGAGCGCCCAAGGAGAAGAAGCTTGTACTCACTACAGAGGACCTCGCCGCTGCATTGAAAGAGGTGATTTCTTAGTTCTAGAAACTATATGCAGGCTTACTGAAACGTTGAGGGCAGGACCTGCTGTTTTGTGCTTTCCACCTGCTTGTTTTCTTCCCCCTGACCTGTGCTTTTGCTGTGTGATGCTGTTTTGCACGTCCCGCCTGTTCCCCGTCTGTTGCTGTGATATCTGTTGTAATATTGTCGCAGTATGGTGTGAATGTGCGCAAGCAAGACTATTTTGTGGACGGGCCAACGCCAGTTGTGGGCAGAACTGGAAAGCACTGAACTGATGGTTGTAACAAGTTGTTATTGTCCACAAATTGTACCTGTATTGAACGTTTTTGGGTTGCGGAGCAACCTATTACAATCGTTATGTACAATTTTTTTTTCAGTCCTCTATAAAAACGACGGAAAATATCTAGCGAATGGTAGCTAAGTGACTAAATGTTACGTATTTGCCACCATAATTTACCACGTGCCGTAGTGTGTTCCTTCTAGTTTGCCTTGATTGAATCTATATTGTCAAAATGATGTCACCGTGAACGTTTGATTGTGTATCTCGTAATGCATATGCCGGATTATACTATGCATAGATGAAGTATATGGATGGATATAATGAACCATATATTTAATGAAAAATGCATAAATGTAATGTATGTGCTACCATGGTGAAATATTACGATATATTCGAAACTTTAGTGAAATAGATGCATAGCATGATAAAAATGCGTAACAGTTAATTGACCCAGACCCTATGCTACCGCATCCCCTGCCTAGCATGGGGGGGAGGTCGATAGCATAGTTGCTGAATCATCCAACTGCTACATAAAACAACACAATCTGTGTAAACTAAAAAAATGATCAAAATCCATCAAATCCAGTTCAAGTGAACACACTCACTGAGTGGGCAAAGAACCTTCTCGGAATTGATAGTTTGATCATTTTTTTAAAAGACACAGACATGCATTGTTAATGCAATGCAATATACATATGGATGAATGCACACACACATACATACGCACACGTAAAGACACATAGACACAGACGCACACATATGCACGCGCAAAAACTGAGACAAGTCATTAAAAAGGCAAAAGAAACCTACCAAAGCAATACAGTACCATCAATCATACAAATCAACACTGATATACTTCTAGTTTCTATATTGGTCTTGACTTCCCAATGGTACAGCAAAGCCTCTGGAGGGTAGGATATAATAAAAAGGGGGAGCGAGAGGGAGGCGGGGAAAGGAAGGGGCAGAAGAAGGGAGAAAGCAGAGAAATTGAATGACATCATAACCAAACAGAAACAACATACACGGATTGACCAAGTGAAAGAAATGGCAAACCAAACAGGAAAAAAACGGAGAATAAAAAGTATTCTATGATAACGAGAAAAAAAACGAGCACGAAGAAGAATAGAAGAAACAAGGGAGAGAAGAAAGCATGCGATAAACATGAGGTGAAGAATGACAAGGACTGAAACAAGGAGAGAATATAATAGAAAGGAAGAAGGAATGCAAGAGAAAACGGCGGAGGGAGGAGCGAGAGCGAGAACGAAAAAGGTGATGTTGAAGAATAAAAAAGAAATGAAAGTGCTGTCAAAATCACTAGGCAAGAATGAATGAAAGGAGAGGGGTTGAACTAGCAGGCAGTTGAGTACAAATATCAAACCCTAGATTGGGCTATACTCGCTATAGAGTACCCCACTGCAGGCTAGACAATAATAGCATTCTGACACACCCCCATAGCCAAAGTGGGGTGTAATCAGCAGAGCAAGCAAAGCAGTACAAGCTCAGGGTGGATCACAATGTCACCACACATTCTGAGCACAAGTTCAAGAAGCAATAGTTTAAAGTTCACAGTTATGAGCAAAGCTAGAGGCAGTCACAGAGGGCAAGCGAGGAGGAGGAGGGCTGGCGAGAGGAGAGAAGATGAAAGGCGCCGACTGAAGCTGCAGACACACGGGCAACAGGAGCGGCGCGCACAGTGGCTACCGAGCGCACGAGGGCACCGGACTACGGGAGTATCTGGCTCCGCGGCTACGACGAGCACACACAGGAGCAACGGACCCACAGGCGACTGGCGAAGCAGGCTCGCTGGGCTACCGAAACGCGCGAGGGCATCCGGACTACTGGCGCTGCTGGCGTCACGACGGCTACCTCCACGCAATCTCCCCCGACCGTCCCACGCCCCTCTCACACACCCCCTGCTGACACCCTAGCTCCACTCCGACGGTACCCCCCTTAAACCCCAAACCCTAGGCTCCCACACACCACCCCCCTCAGCGGCAGCTGTAGCAGAGGGAGACGAGGGAGGAGGAGGAGCAGGGGGAGGAACTCACAACCGACACCCCCATAGCCGCCACCCCCACACTCTTCACCCCCAAACCCTAATTTGGGCTGTAGGAGGGGTGAGGCGCCGGTAGAAGCACGGGGGACAGTGGAGAGGGCAGGAGCAGCGAGGAACGGGCCGCCCACGGGCCTGGTAGAGCCGCCCGAACCGCGCGCAGGCGGCCCGAGCCGCGCGCGGGCCTGGCGCTTCCCGTACGGGCCGCGCGCGTGCCTGGCGCAGCCCGTACGGGCCGCGTGCCGGGTGTACGGGCCGCGCGCAGGCCACGACGGGCGACGGGGGGCGACGCGCGGGTCCCCGTCGCCCGTCGCAGCGCCTCCCGGGGGCGACGTGCCGAGTGACGGGGCAGGAACCCGCCGCGCGCCTCGGGGCACACGGCGGGCAGAGAACCGCCGCGCGCCTCGGGGCGCACGGCGGGCAGAAAACCGCCGCGTGCCTCGGGGCGCACGGCGGGCTGAAAACCCTAGTTTCGACGCCGCGCGCCACGGGGCGCGCGGCGGACAGGGAGTAGCAGTAGCAGTAGCAGTAGCAGCGGAAGGCTTAGGTGGTGGGCCCACCCACAGGATCGACCCAGGAGGGTCGACCTGCTCTGATAGCATATCAGAAGAACTAGGCAAGAAGATGGAAGGAGAGGGGTTGAACTAGCAGGCAGTTGAGTACAAATAGCAAACCCTAGATTGGGCTGTACTCGCTATAGAGTACCCCACTGCAGGCTAGACAATAATAGCATTCTGACAAGTGCATGTACAGAAAAGGGCTTACAAAAGGGGAAAGAATGAAGAACATAAAATCAAGTCTATAAAAAATGGAAGGAATTGAGGATTGAGTTAAGAGATCTATATTCGAAAGGATACGAAGAAAAAGACCTTAATTACTAAGTTCTAATTTGACCTAGATTTAAACAAA